TGCTCCTTGCGTCTTCCTGGGGTTCCCCCCAGACGCGCCTGGGTGGCAGTTCTACCACCCCACCTCTCGCCGTGTTCTGTCCTCTCAGGACGTCACGTTCGACGAGTCGGTACCCTACTACCGCCTCTTCCCCTACCGCACTCCGTCCCCCCCCCCCGCCCCCGCTCTTCCTTGTACCAGGTCCCCCCCCGGTAGACCCCCTCCCCCCTCAGGGTCCTGCCCCTTCAGGTGTGTCCCAGGTAGACGCAGTCGAGCCTGTCGAGGTCACTGGTGACTCTGGTACTGCTGGGGGTGCTGAGCCTGGGGGTGCTGGGCCTGGGGGTGCTGGGCCTGGGGGTGCTGAGCCTGGGGGTGCTGAGTCTGGGGGTGCTGAGTCTGGGGGTGCTGAGCCTGGGGGTGCTGAGCCTGGGGGTGCTGAGCCTGGGGGTGCTGAGCCTGGGGGTGCTGAGTGTGGGGGTGCTACGCCTGGGGGTGCTTTGCCTGGGGGTGCTGGACCTGGGAGTGCTGCGCCTGGAGGTCCTCCGCCTCGAGTTTCTACGCGTGCTTTGTCTCGCCGGGAGCCACTCTCTCCACAGGAGCTGCGCGAGTGGTTTGCCCGGCGCTGGAGCCGTGCTGCTGGTGCTGGAGGTTCGTTGGCTACTGAGGGTGCTGCTGTTGCGGGTCCCGGAGGTGCTCGTACTGGGAGTACTGGAGCTGCTGGGCCTGCGGGTTCGACTGGAGCTGGTGCTGCTGAGGGTGTTGGCGCTGAGACTACCGCTGGCGGTCCTGCTGGGGGTGCTCCTGGTGTTGCTCGAGGTTCTGGAGCTACTGGAGGTGCTGCTGGAGCGGGTGCTCCTGCTGGGGGTACTGGTGCTGTCCCTGCTGTTTCTGGCGTAGCTACGCGGCCTCGACCGTACTTCGTTCCACTCCTGCAGCAGGTTCTTGGTCTTCCGCCCTCTCCTGGTCCTCCTCCTCTCTTGGAGGGTCCACAGCCTGTCCCGTCGCGGTCACTGCTACAGCCTACCTCCCCTTTGCCTGCTCCTTCTCCCTACACTGGTCCTACTGGAGGTCTTACTGAGCGTCGTGAGCCTGCGTCTCGCCCTGCGTCGCCTGTCCGTGCTGCTCGCGCTAGTGGTCGTGGTTCGCGTCAGCGTCCTCCTCCTGTCCCTGGCACGCACAGGATGTCTCTGCGTCCGTCTACTGCTCCTCTGCGTGCCCCTTTGCCTTCTCCTCCTGAGTCCTCTCTTCCTGCTCTTCCCGACCCTGCGTCGGACTCTCTTCGTGCTGCCAGTCCTACTGTCACGCGTCTCCTTGCTACTCTCGTCACTGACCCTTCCTTCGAGTCTACTGCTGCGTCTGCCCTAGTTACTGAGCTCGTCGACTTTGCTGCTCGCTGTCGCCTAGACTACGCTGCTAGTCTTGTCGCTGAGTCTGGGTCTGCCTGTCCTCCGTCAGTCGGGGGTGAGTGTGCCCTTGGCACGGACGTCCTTGAGGACAGGCAGGAGGAGTTCCAGTGTCTGGCAGCTGCTTCACCTCATCTCGTGTCCGTACTGCTTACCCCTGAGGGAGACCCGGATGCACTTGACATCCCGACTCCGCGCTCTTACGCGGAGGCGATAGAGGGTCCCTACTCCTCTCAGTGGCAGGCAGCTATGGATGCAGAGATGGCTTCCTGGAAGTCCACAGGCACCTACGTTGACGCTGTCCCCCCTCTTGGGGCGAACATCGTCAGTGGCATGTGGATCTTCAGGGTGAAGCGGCCGCCGGGTTCTCCGCCTGTCTTCAAGGCACGTTACGTGGCTCGTGGCTTCAGTCAGCGACAGGGAGTTGACTACTTTCAGACCTTCTCCCCCACCCCGAAGATGACCACTCTTCGGGTGCTGCTACACGTTGCTGCTCACCGTGACTACGAGCTGCACTCTCTCGACTTCAGCACTGCTTTCTTGCAGGGCAGCCTGCACGAGGAGATCTGGCTGCGCCGCCCACTTGGCTTCACTGGGTCTTTCCCTCCTGGTACCCAGTGGAGTCTCCGGCGTCCAGTCTACGGTCTCCGCCAGGCGCCACGTGAGTGGCACGACACACTGAGGACTACGCTTGCGGCTCTTGGGTTTGCTCCTTCTACTGCCGACCCGTCGCTGTTTCTACGCACCGACACCTCTCTGCCGCCGTTCTACATCCTCGTGTACGTCGACGACTTGGTCTTTGCCACAGCTGACACTGCTGGACTCGCCCACGTGAAGTCCGAGCTGCAGAAGAGACACACGTGCACAGACCTGGGTGAACTGCGCAGCTACCTTGGCTTGCAGATCACCCGGGACAGAGCACGCCGCACCATTACCCTGACTCAGTCACACATGGTGCAGCAGGTCCTTCAGCGCTTCGGCTTCACGTACTCCTCGCCTCAGGCCACTCCTCTGCCTACTCGCCACTCACTCTCAGCTCTGCCTTCGGATGAGTCCGTAGAGTCGAGTGGCCCGTATCCAGAGCTTGTTGGCTGCCTCATGTACCTGATGACCTGCACACGACCTGACCTTGCATACCCTCTTAGCATTCTTGCACGCTATGTTGCTCCTGGGAGACACCGACCAGAGCACATGGCTGCAGCGAAGAGGGTGTTGCGATACTTGTGCAGTACGTCGGGCATGGGACTAGTGCTTGGAGGGCGGAGTCCAGTGGTCCTCACTGGGCACGCGGACGCTTCTTGGGCTGACGACCAGGCTACGCAGCGGTCGTCGCAGGGTTACACCTTCAGTCTTGGTTCCGGCTCTGTCTCGTGGCGAGCTACCCGCTCGTCCTCTGTTCTCGGCTCCAGTTGTGAGGCTGAGATCTACGCCGGGGCCATGGCTGCACAGGAGCTTCGCTGGCTCACCTACCTGCTGACTGACCTTGGAGAGCCGCCTCGTTCTCCTCCAGTGCTGTACGTAGACAACAAGGCCATGCTGGCCTTGTGTCGAGAGCAGCGCTTGGAGCACAGAACGAAGCACATTGCTCTCCGTTACTTTCTTGCTCGTGAGCTGCAGCAGCGTGGTCAGTTGCGACTCGCGTACGTGGCCTCTCAGGCCAACACTGCTGATGTGTTCACCAAGGCACTTGCGCCTTGTGACCATCAGCGCTTCTGCACTCAGCTGGGTCTTGTACCTGTCTTGCCTCACTTGCTCTCCTCTTGACCTTACTTGTACTGTCACATATATATACCTGCTCTTGCTTGTCTAGCTCTATATATATATGTGTACTCCTGCATGTGAACTGGCCTTGTGGCCTTGTCGTTGTGCTCGGACTGTGTGGTGACGTTGTGATCCACCCTGAGCTTGCTCTGCTTTGCTTGACTGGTCTTGTGACCCCTTGTTCTCCCCCACTTTGCCTATGGGGGTGTGTCAGAACATTATATAGCTTATGCTGTTGTGTAGGCTATAGTGGGGTATCCCATAGGGGGTACAACCCAATTAGGGTTTTCTATATGTACTCACCTCATTCATAGTTCATTCATCCTCGTTCTTCATTCTTCTCAACTCGTACCGCCAATCGCACGGCACATCAGGTCGTCGCCACAAATGAGCCTGTGTAATTCGTCCTTCGGATTACACTACCGTGTGAGGTGTGTGGACGAAATACACTATCTGAGAGGGATTTTCTGTGTCGGCGACATCGGCCAATCGCCTGCTTCGCTGGGTGTGCGTGGTGTGCAGCCGAAGAGGACATGCGCAGCCGCCTTTTTTCTGCAAGAACAGCAGTTACCGGTGTTGTTCGTGGTGCTGCTACGAGGGGCAGTCTGCGGAAGGGGACGGCGAGGCGTATGGCTTGAGTCAACATTGGGTTTCTGAGATGTCTCTTGTTCTAGAGTGGTCACGAGTGAGTGGTCTGCGCGTTCGGAAATGAAAGGATGAGTCGAGCGGACAGAGCATTCTGATCGCACGCGATGAAAACCCGTGCCGCCAATCGCACAGATCGTCGCCACAAAAGAGCCTAATCTGTCCTTCCGATTCCAGTATGCGGGGTGTGGACGAAATCCACTATCACTAACGGGGATTTTCTGAGCTGGCGACATCGGCCAATCGCCTGCTTCGCGTGGAGCCGACGATGACCTGCGCAGCCGTCTTATGCACTATTATCTGCAAAGAACCGACCTAGCTGTCGCAGCTTGCTTCACTATTCCACAAAATAATCGAACCTGCATCGTCTTGTGCTTGGTCGGCCTTCCCCCGCTCTTGCTCGCTCCGCTGCAAGAGCTACTACTGTACAACGTTCCAAAAGGCTTGACTCACAATGGTGCTTGAAAGAATTCCGCTAAAAGTCACACAAATAAAACAAGGATGATTTATTTCGATAGCCGGGTAGCTGGCATGTACTTTCCCATAGTAAATAGCACATAATGCCCGATCGCTACGATGCCAACAAGGGTCGAATGCCAACACACCACATCTCTCTGATGAACCTCCTGTTAGAGAGTTTCGTCCATCGATCCTCGTGGCTGATGCAGCTGATCTCACGGAAACTTTCAGAAGGGGTAGTAACCCCAACAATACTGCCGCAGTAGATGCTTCCACTCCAATGACGAAACTCGGCTGCCTTTCGTCAATGCTCGTGATTTTCGTGAAAGGTGTTGCCCATCCGCATGTTTCGAGTTTGTGGCCAGAATTAGGGACTTCGACCAAACGCGGCGGAATGGTCGTGCTGCGACGACTGCACGGACATGCTCGCGGCGCTCAAAGCCGTTAGCGCCGATGAGTCGACGGTGCTCAAAGTTCTCCTTCCGTCAGTTCTGAAAACCTTGGGGGGATCAGCTGTTCGAGTGAGTTGCGCTGCGCTCTCGATTGTTTGTTTGTTTGTTTTTTTTTTTTGCTAAGGGCGGGTCGGGCCTAATTTGATTTCAGTCCATAGTGATGGGAAATTCAGTCCAAGAGCGAGACATGGTTTAACGCGTTACCCTATTCCTCCATCTTCCCTTCCCCCTTCTTTCCGCCCCTCCGCGCCCCCTCTCCCTTTCCCCTCCTCCTCACACGCCCGCCCTCTACTCCACGCAGCAATGCGCGCGGTTTGTGGGCTTCGATCAGTGCAGCCAGGAACTCGAGGCGATGAACTGCGCCGTGATGTGCAACCCCGGTGCGTTTCCGATATCAATTTCACCCCAAATGACATACTGATGCATAACATGTGCTTTCTAGTATACGCATATTTTACAAGACAATTTGAACTACGGTAGTAACCGCTGGTATCTACACTGCCTTTGTCCTTGCAGAGAGTGGAAACTATGTTGTTGCTGATTCGGAATGGTCGGGGACCTTCTCTGTATGCGATGGCTACGCATCTTACGTTTACTCCGAATGCAAAGGCCTACCGAGTAAGTTCGACAGTACATGTGAACTGGCATCGCATTGCTCATATACCCCCGTTAGTTACCATTTGTTGTTTCTCTTTCGGATTTTTGTTTGTTTTTTTGGCCAAACTGCTTCAAACTTTCACTCACTTCGCTCGTTTTATGGTCCCCGATTCTCGTTCTCCTTTTCCCTCTCTCCATTACAACAGCAGCCTCCCTCCTTTATACCACCACCTTCTACACTCTAAGCCATTTTTATCACCATTGCCACACAATGTTTTCCTCCCCGTCCTTTTTGTTCGGCATGTGACCCAACAGTGGCCACATGAACCACATTCGGCAACCTGCTCACCAGCAAGGAGGTGTTCTTCAGAGTGTTCTTCGGGTCACTTTTCAGAGCGCTAGGCGGGCGAAACATTACTGTGAACATGGCTTCAGTAAGTATGAGATCTAACAGTAAATAAGGGCCTCCATGTAACTACGACCTCACTACAGCTGTGCCATGTCGAATGCAGAAGGCGTTTCCCCAGGCCACGCCAAATGCACAAGGCCCCGACGGACCTGGGGGTTTACAATTGACACCATCGAAACCGCACCGCCTACCTGTTCTGTTTCAGTTTCTTCCTCCCCTTTTCTTGGACCGACTGGGAGTTAAAATCTGGCACAGGCGGTCTAAGGATGCATCCGACTGAAAACAGGTCTGATTTTGACTGGTCTGTTTCTGTTCTGCTTCTGTTCTGTCTCTATTTGTTTTCTTTCTGCCCCCTTCAGGGCCCAACCGGGTGTTACAACGGGGCCAAGCAGTATCCGCCGGTCCCTGCCTGCTGCGACCCTCTCAACGACATCCCAGGGTGCCCCTTCAAGGACAATGCGACTTACGGCGCGTTCGTTGGGCGCAAGGTCTCTCCCACGGAGTGCAAATCGTACGCGCAGGTGTCATCTGGAGCGTCTGACCAGTCAGGCTTGGTGTTGCCCTCGTCAGCACCGCCGCCTGCTAAAGCTGGTGGAAGGATAAGGGAGGACGTGGTGCAAATGTTCTTGACACACTTTCTCTTCTGTGTTTCGGCTCTGCTGCTCTTGTTCTAGAGCTAGCTGCTTCATCATAGGACTACCAGCCTGTTTTCTATGCTTCAGGGCCAGCCCCCTTTCTACCGTAGTTTGTTACAGGACTAGCCTGCTCCCTTTTTTCTAGGGCTAGCCCCCCTTCTTTCTTGTAAGACAGAAAGAATATGGAAGTGACAACACCAGTACCAGCATTGCTGAAAAATATGCCTTGTAGCAGCCCTGATCTCAATACTCATGAGTCGCAGCAGAAAGCTTGTATGAAAGCGAATCATCACATCACCTCACCATCAAGCAAGGCATTGCCTCTGAACACTTCACGTCATCCCTGTTGCAAACCGCATGTTTGAATACATCTGTCCGGTATGCTTATGGAAGCAGCACAGCCCCCCCACAACCTCTAAACCACTGCTCGTCACAGCAGCTGCCAGCTCACACCACCTGCCAGCTCAGCTCACAGCAGCTGTTAGCTCACAGGCCGCATTGCTGCCAGCTCACAGCAGCTGGCGCACCCCAAACACTCCTGCCGTAACAAGCAGCCCCAGCAGCCCGAATGTGCCCCACATGCCCTGCACTCGGTTGCGCGGGTTGCCGGTGTAGTAGCTGGAGCAGGGGGGGGAAGGCACAGCCGCACAGGGGGAGAGAGCACGTTGTGTGGGAGAGAGTGTGTGTGGGAGCACATGTGATAGCAGCAGCCCAAACGTGCCCCACATGCCCTGCACTCGGTTGCGCGGGTTGCCGGTGTAGTAGCTGGAGCAGAGGGAGAGAGGGGGGGAGGGGAGGGGGGTTGAGGAAGGGAGCCCGGAAAGTGGTGGAAGGGAGGGAGAGAGAGCACGTGTCTGTGTGAAAGAGAGCACGTGTCTGTGTGAAAGAGAGCACGTGTCTGTGTGAAAGAGAGCATGTGTCTGTGTGAAAGAGAGCACGTGTCTGTGTGAAAGAGAGCATGTGTCTGTGTGAAAGAGAGCACGTGTCTGTGTGAAAGAGAGCATGTGTCTGTGTGAAAGAGAGCATGTGTCTGTGTGAAAGAGAGCACGTGTCTGTGTGAAAGAGAGCACGTGTCTGTGTGAAAGAGAGCACGTGTCTGTGTGAAAGAGAGCATGTGTCTGTGTGAAAGAGAGCACGTGTCTGTGTGAAAGAGAGCATGTGTCTGTGTGAAAGAGAGCACGTGTCTGTGTGAAAGAGAGCATGTGTCTGTGTGAAAGAGAGCATGTGTCTGTGTGAAAGAGAGCACGTGTCTGTGTGAAAGAGAGCACGTGTCTGTGTGAAAGAGAGCACGCGCGATAGAAGCAGGCCGGATGTTCCCCACATGTCGTGCACTCAATTGCGAGGCTTGCCGGTGTAGTAGCTGGAGGAGGGAAAAGAGAGCATAGGGGAGAGTGTGTGTGGGAGCACATGTGATAGAAGCAGGCCGAATGTGCCCCACATGCTCTGCACTCGGGTTGCCAGTGTGGTAGCTGGAGCAGAGGGAGAGGGGGGGAGAGCAGAGACGGTGGGAAAGCACGGAGATTGGTGCAATGGCGGAAGTACGGACTTGAGTGAGGAGCGAGTGAAAAGGAAGGAAAGCAGAGCAACGACGCACGCAGGTAGGTAGGTGGGGGGCGGTGAGAAGTGGGGAGGGGGGGACGGAAGCAAAGTGTGTGCTTTTGTGGAAAGAGGAACGTTGTGAAGGAAGGGGACAGCAGGGTGCCAGGTACAGAAGAGAGGAATTTGGGGCGAGTGAGAAGGCACGTTGTGAAGGTTCAGTATTTTATGAAGGAGAGTGTGTGTGGCAGGAGGACTTAGGAGTGGACAGGGGAGGCATAGTGGTGAAGAAAACTAATGGGCTGATTATCTCTGGTTGATGTTAGGTGCAGGAAGGAGCGGGAGGGGAGTGTGAGGGAGAGGGCATGAAAAAGGGTATGGGCGAGTGCGTGCATGGGATAATGGAAGTGAGAGTGTTTGTGAGACAATTCAAGAAAAAATAGTGTCTGCGAGTAAAGAAGGTAGAGAGTGAAAACGGATAGTGGAAGGGAGAGTGGGGAAGCGAGAGAGTGTGTGAGTGAGTGAGGGGAAGAGCTTTTACCCGAGAGAGTAGAAGACTCGTCCGATGACCCACACCATTCCACACCTGCAGGCAGCATGGAGGATGGATGGGAGAGTGTGATGGACGAGAGTGTTTGGGGAGAGGCACACCACCACGCCCCACCATGCCACACCATGCCACACCATGCCACACCATGCCACACCATGCCACACCATGCCACACCATACCATGCCACACCATGCCACACCATGCCACACCATACCATGCCACACCACGCCACACCATGCCCCACCATGCCACACCATGCCACACCATGCCACACCATGCCACACCATGCCACATCCGCAAGCAGGGAGATGAGGGGAGAAGGGAGGAAATATAGAACGGTGGTTTAGAAAGGACGGATGAAATTGAGGTGGGGAGGATAAGTGGGGAGGATGGAAAGAAGGGAGGATGGGAAGGCAGGAGGATGGGAAGGCGGGAGGATGGGAAGGCAGGAGGATGGGAAGGCAGGAGCATGGGAAGGCAGGAGGATGGCAGGGAGGGAAGATGGGGTAGGGGTTAGGTCTGGGAGTGAGCACTGAGCAACAGAGGAGGGACGAACAAATAGGAAACACACGGAATTTTGGCAATGCGGAGGAGAAAAACATGGCATGGGGAGAGCACGGTTGGACATACGCGGAAGCGGTAAAGGGTTAGGCATAGCCGGCAATGAGGAGGAAGGGGGAACGTGCGGAGGGCGGGGAGGCACTCAAGGGAGGGCGGAGGCAGTGATGGGGTAGGGGAGAGCACGGATGGATGTACACGAGAAACGGAGAAACATGGGGATGAAGGCAGGGAGATCGTTAGACATACTCCAGCGAGCAAGGATGGATGCACATGGAGGTACATGGGGATGAAAGCAGGGGCTGGGAGGGGAACGTACGCGGAGGCAGTGATGGGGTAGGCATAGCCGGCAATGAGGAGCAGCGAGAGGAAGGCGGGGTAGCTCTCAAGGGTGTTCTGGTGGGCGCGCTGGTAGCAGTTGAACAGGCTCTCCTCCTTCTCCTCGTACATCTGCACACCCAGGGGCGCAGAGCGGTGCAGAGCGGTGCACGGAGGTGCGAATGGGGTCAAGGAATTGAGCATGCAAGAGCAGTGGGAGCAGGTGCAGCTGCCACCCTTAGCCTCGTGCATCTGGAACAAGGTAACCACCTAGTAACCATCCTTGTAACCGCTTGGTAATCTCACTGTAACCACCGTGTAACTGCATTGTAACCGCCTGGTGAATACGACCTTCACATCCTAAAGCGCAACTCCTGAAGACCATGAGCCCTCCTGTGCCCACCCTGTTGCACTGGATGGTATTCTAACCACCTGGTAACCACCTGGTAACCACCTGGTAACCACCTGGTAACCACAGCATCCACATCACGTCCTAGAAGGCAACGCCACACCACCCCTATGCCCTCCCGTGCGCACCTTGGGGTACGGGACGTTGCTGGCCCTCCGTTGCTTTGCCACCTGCCACGTCAGCACGCACGGGACAGCAGAGGTGAAGGACCAGAGAGGTCAACAGAGTCAACGGAATGTATGCAATGTGTAGAGAACACCTCGTGCCTTACACAAGTGCTCTAGTGCGCGGGAAAACAGGGCCGGTTCTCGGGAATAGTTTTACGAGACGCGTTTCGAAAAGAGCTAGACAATACATGCACGTACGTTACAAGCACAAGATGCACTTCAGTAGAGCACAGGCACGTAACGAGATGGCAGCAGTCACTGCGAAAGCGTGCAGTGGAGACCAGCAGGCTCGACAGGCAGGTTTGATAGACAGCTTTGACACGCAGGTCAACTGTCGAGTCACACCCGTGGTAGCGTACCGCGATACGTTGTCCTACAGTAAGCACCTCGAGCATCTGCCATTGCGTGCGCACAGCGCTAGTAGCAGCAATCAACAGCAGCCAGCCCGCAAACCGATCAGTCCGATCCAAACAATGTACCTCGATGCCATTGCGTCAGCTCAGCGTTAGCAGTCAATACCATCAGCCCGCATACCCGCTACGTTAAAATTCGATATTAGCAGCTTACCTCGATCATCTGCCATTGCGTCAGCACGGCGCTAGCAGCAGCGGTCAACACCACCAGCCCGAACTCCCGCGGAAGCGACTCAATCACCACCGCGCGCGCAACTCCCGGCCGCGCGGAAACGGCGGAAGCGGGTTTCCGCGACCAAGCGGAGGTTGTGCTTTGCAGCTGCAGCGGGCAGGCGGAGGCGAGGCCGTTGCGCGGCAGGCGCGCGGAGACGGCGGAACGGGCTCCCCGCGGTGCGCTCGCGCGGGGAAGAACAGGGTTGACGCAAGACGCAGCAATGGAGGCCATGATGGAGTGCTGGTTGTGGTGTAGGCTGATCAGTGTTAGTTGAGGATGATGGCAGATTGTTATATTTCGGGATTCTGAGCTACTGCGTACTGCACCACACTCAACTCCCCATTTCCTTTTTTTTTTGCTGCAGTTCCAACAAAATGGATAACCACGTATCAAGATTTATCATGACATATCAAGGAATATTTAAACCATAAACATCAACATGGGACGCTTCTGGTATTGGAAATTGACAAAGCACATTATAATCACAATCAGAATGAAGCATATTTGTATTCATTTGCTGGAGGTACACTGTTCTGGTACGCTTTTTCGTTATAATCCACATTACGCTGCCACTTCTGATGGGAATCCAGACCTGTGGGAGTGCCTCGGTGGAGGTGACGGACCTCGAGAGGCCATGTGGATCACCACCTGGGATCCATGTGGACATCGAAGCTCATCCGAACCATTCGTCTGCTCGTTCGGATGAAACCCTAACTGAGCTACACCGCAGACGACAATTGGTAACTTCGACGGACGTCAGGTTTTCTCTGTCTGTGTTGCTGGATTCAGGAACCAGCAGGCCGAGTTGGTTTGAATTCTTGAAAACCTAAAATCGATGCCTGTCATTGCCTCTGCCTGTTTTCTGTTTCTACGCAATGGCTCAGACCACGAAACCCTAGATGGACTTTTAGGTTAGGTTCCCTCACTATCTTTTCCTCGAATAACGTGACTGTCGTCGCCTTCACTTCCTTTTTTATGTAGGTCCTTAGTTACGATTTTTGTTTATGGTATCGTCAGGCGTAGGCTATTCTCGGTCGTCTAGGGTTCCATGGAGGCGTCAGGGAGTTGAAGGGAGGCCTCGGGTCTCGAGTGTGCGAGATGGAGTTGCATCGCGGGGAGGGGTCCGCAGAAATCTCGTCAGGTCGCTTCCAGGCGCCTCCCCTCGGCGTGCCTTGCTCGCGGCCCGTGTCGGTATCGGACGTTCTGGCGGACGGCGGCCGGCTGTTTTTGCATTCGTCCAGAGGCGTCATGGGAGCCTCGATATTACCGCAGAAGCGGCTGCTTGCCGGCCCGAAACAGAACGGATGGTTTTCCGTCTCTGACGCGTCCGGAGCGACTCTGGCCTTCTCGGGAGCGTCCGCTCGGAGCGACTCGGCTTTTTCCAGTCGCAGCCGCAACGGTAGCGTTAACGGGACGGCTAACGGAACGCATAACGGAGTGCATTCGGGGGATCTCGCAGCAGCGGCGACGGCGTTAGGGTTACAGCCGGTGGTTCTGTCGTGCAGCCGCAGCGCCGCCGAGCGAGCGAATCGCCTGGCATTTCAGACGAGTGGTTCCGATAGAGGGCCTGATTCGTTTAAAGAACCCGACTCGGTGAAAGTACCCGACTCGTTTCGCTGTAGCGTTCGTCCTGGTGAGGAGTCCTCCAGCCTCCAGAGCATTCGTCAAGATTCGACCGCGAAGGATGTACCGCCGAGTCTGGGATTCTCTAGTCGCTTGCTCTCGCCTTCTCGCCACCGGCAGCGGTCGCAGAGGAAGCATGGCGAGTCGCTAGCGCAGGCAGGAGGTAGAGACGTGTGCATCGGAGACGCGTTGAAGAGCGACGACGGACGGAAGAACGCGCGCAGTCGTAGCCCCCGTGGTCATGGCAGGGTGTCGCACAAGGAGTCGGATAGAGTTTCGCAGGATTCGTTCAAGGATTCGCAGGGCGCCGAGTTAGTAAAGAGTACAAAGCCGCATTCTGACGTTAACGGTTGTGATTCAGAGCAGCGAAAGGCGACAGACGGGGATAGCTCGTTTCTGCGAGGGCAGCGATTGCAGCAGCAGCGGAAGCAATGTGACGGGCAATCACCCGCAGAGGACGCAGGGACGGGGAACTCGGGTATGGGAACTGGCGAAGGTGCCAAGGGCGAGCGTGGGAGTTGTCTGTCGTTATCCGTTGCAGATCTGAAGGCCAAAGCAAGCCAAGAGAAAACTCGAGGTTCTCAGGCTGCTGGAGCCTTTGCTGAGCAGCAGTCGGTGAGACGCGAAGACTGACCTTTTTTATTTTAGTCCTATTTTTTCGTATTATTTTTTCGCTGGATGTTGTCACGCACGGTCATATTTCGTACACGATTTTTTTTTTGTTTTTTTTGTGTGTTTTTTTTTTCTCTCATTTTTTCCTGCGCGTTTGTGCGACTAACACTACGTGCTCCTGTGCGATTGTGCAGATTGGTAACGCAGAGACAGCAGCAGAGCGGATACCCTTTCACAGCAGCTTATTACCTGACCCCACGGCAGCAGAAAACTCTCCAGCGGCAGCAGCGGTTCACGAGCTGGTCTTCAAAGCGAAATCAATCACGCCACCAGACCAATTACTATCCGATAACGACATTCCCAGGCGAATAGGGTTACCACTGGTCAGCCACGCGCTGATGGACTGCGGGAATTTTCTCTACCCTCCGTTCAAGAAGGCCCGAGCCACCAGAGAACCCAAGTTCCGCAAGCCCAACGGGAGCCGACTACTAGGCCTGGCTGAACCTCCGTGCTGCACAGGCTCGGAACCGAACCTATCGCTGAGCCTGTCCTTTCCGCAAGACCGCAATTCTGAGCGTGAATCGCCACCCGCCCCGCTGTCTGTAACCACGCCTCGCCCTGATAAGCACAACGGCTTATCAGGGGAAAGTCAGCCCGCCCGCCCCAGCACGCCGGTTCCCCCCGCGACTCCGTCCTTCTCGCTTCTGGAAGGCCCTCTGTCGTTTTCCCCTATCACGCCGGAGGGGGAACTCTCGCTTGACGATTCCGCGACGGCTGCCCGCCTTCGCGCCGTCTCCGCCGCTCGAGCAGCCGTAGAAGCACGCGCATTCGCCGTCAGAAAAGCGCAGGCAGCTTTTCGGGCAGCTGCGAAGGCGAAGGAGGCGGTAGCGGCGGTGATTGACGCGGAGAAGCAAGAACGAGCGGCAGCAGGAGAGGAAGCGAGCCACAGCTGCCCAGTCAAAGGTGTAAATGGGTATTTGGGGGCTGGTGCTGTGGGGACGGGCGATTTAGTGGCGGGAGGGGAGCTGGACGGTACAGACGTTTTCAGGAGCGGTGCAATGCGGTTCTCTTCGAGGTGGCGGGAGGCGTTGTCGGATTTAGAGGCGCGCTGTGAACGGCTTCTAACGCGTACAGGAGCAGCAGCTGCGGATAGCGAGACAGGCGGGAGAGCCGTGACGGCAGGTGCAAAGGCGGAGGAAGGCGAGGAAGGGGAAGCGCGGGGAGTCGGTGAGACTGCTACGGGCTTCAGGGGGAGAGGAGAAAGTGGGGGGAGTGGGTATTCTGAGATTCCGTTCGGGCTCAATCCGTCTGCAGGAAGGGAAGGGCTGGGCGCTCATAACACGCTCGATCTCCATCTGAGTAGACCGGACCTCGCTGATTCTGCCCTAGTGTTGGCTGTCAAGGAAGAGGAGACGACACGTGGGGAGAAGGAAACGGGGTTGGTTCCACGAGAACGGTGCTTAGCGTGGGGTGAAAGGGAGGGAGGGGCGGCAAGTGGTGAGACGGCGGAGGACGAGGGGGGGGTGAAAAGCTCATTGGTGGTGGTGCAAAGCGGCGAGGTGCGGCGGTGTGTGTCTTTAGACCTGGTGATGGGCCTCGGCTGCTCGTCCCAAGGGAAAGACGGCAGTGAGGGGCGTGGAGCGAGAAGGAAAGGGCGGCGAGAAGAGGAGGACGAGGGGGAGGAGGAGGAGGGGGGAGGGGGAGGGAGGTGTTGCGATGGAGAAGCTGAGTTTGCCACCTGTGTCGTGTGAGAGTGAAGAGTACAAGCAGCCACGGCCGCCGTTGCTTCCTCTTAGTGCAGAGCGTTGCAAGCCGGACGGTGCAGAGCACTGCAAGCCAGATGGTGCGGAGCTGTGCAAGCCGGATGGCGCAGAACATTGCAGGCCGGGTGAAGCTGAGCATTGCAAGCGGCTTTCGAAGGCTGAGAGTGGCAGCAGCGAGTGGCGCAGCCACGGCTTCAGCCCGCGTGACCGACCAGATGGGCTCGCAGGCGCGGCGGTGGCTGTTGAGTCGACTCAAGCTTCACTTCACCGCGCAGATGCGAGGGTTTCAGACAAGGCGGGTTGCGAGAGGCGAGGGCAGCAGGGGTGTGGCGACGTGGGGGGGCAGCGCGAGGCGTGCAGTGAGGAGGAGACACGGCAGCTGATGCCTCGTGACGGGGGTTTCTGCAATGCCGCCGCAAACAGCGGTTTTCCTTCGGCAGATGGCCATGCTGCTGCCGCGGATGGCAATGCTTCTTCAGCAGACGGCAATGCTGCGGCAGCTAACAGCGCGGGTGCATCGAGCAATCATGCAGCAACCAGTGTCTCCGCGATGGCGTGCAACCGGCGTGTTACTGCGTGCTGTTCTGACCCGGGTGTGGTTGGGGACGGCGTTGAGGGGAAGAGCGGCCGAGAAGCGAGGCAGGAGGGCGGTCAGGCGTGTGGTGAGGGCTCGGCAGCAACGGGTGGGGAGACGGATGCTGAGAAATGCGCAGAGAGGAGTGGTGGTGGTGGTGGTGGTGGTGGTGGTGGTGGTGGTGGTGGTGGTGTAATTGTCACTGATGCCAGTGGAGCAGGTGGTGAGGGGAAGGCACAGGCGACCGAGTCTCGTCGGGATGAGGGCGGACAGGGGGTTGGAGGGGACAAGAGCGCGCTCGTGGGTGAGGGGCGAGGTACAGTGGGAGTGGCCTGTGCGTCAGCGGGCGTGGCTGGAAGGACTGCGGTAGGAGAGGAGAAGGAGAATGGTGGAGCCAAGGAGGGGGCAGAATCTGCAAGCGCTGCTGCGGCTGCTGCTGCTGCTGCGTCTGATAATGATGCTGCTGATGCTGCTTCTGACGTTAACGCTACCGCTGCAAGAGCTGCAGATGCCAGTGTTCCTCCCGTCCTTCCCGCCACTCCCACGCCTGCGAACAGTGCCGTTGGTGCCACTGCCTGTGCCGTTGCTGCACCTTGCACTACTGCCGCCATCACTGCCAGTGCTGATTACCCGGGCACTAGGCTTGAGACAAGCCTCACTGCCCCCACTGCCGCCACTGCCCCCACTGCCGCCACTGCCCCCACATCCACTGCCGCCACTGCCCCTCGTCACCGTCTGTGCGAGGATGAGAAGTCAGCACAGCAGCTGCGCCCACCCTTCAACAACTCCCCTCATACCACTGCTGCTGCTGTCGCTGCTTCTGCTGCTGCCACCACTGCCGTTGCTACCTCTGGTGTCACTACCGCCAATGCCTCTGCTGCTCCCACTACCACTGCCGTCGCTACCCTTGGTGTCACTACCACGACTGTTGGTGCTTCTGCCACTGCTGCCCCTGCTGCCCCGCCTGCTACAGTCGTTGTTCCTGCAGCTGCTACTGCCGTCCCTGCTGCTGCTGCTGCGTCGTTAGGAAGTGCGGCAGCAGCGGGCGCGGGCACTCCGCGGCAGCGCTGCCCATCAGACGACGAGAGGCTGGCGCGGCAGCTGCACCGCGCCTTCAACAGCTCCCCGCGCATCCTCGCCGTCCTCGCGCCCACGCCCAAACGCTCCCGCAACCCCCGCCACCCCGCTGCGCCCGTTGCGCCTGCTGCGCCTGTTCCTGCGCCTGTTCCTGCTCCTGTTTCTGCGCCTGTTTCGGCTGGTCCTGCGCCTGCTGCGCTTGGGGTGCCTGGGAAGGCAGGACGGGGGGCTGCAGGAGAGGCGAGGGGGAGAGGAGAGGCGGGAGGGAAAGCAGAGGTACGGGGGAAGGTGGCAGTAAGGAGAGACGGGGCGGCGGTGGTAGGAGAGGGTGGTGATGGGGATGGGAAGGCTGCTGGAAAGGGGGATAAGGCTGAAGTGAAGGAGGACGAGCGTGGGGTTAAAGGTGCTGGCTCTGGTGGTGCTGGTGTTGATGGTGGTGCTGGTATTGTTTGTGTTGCTGGTGCTGATAGGTGTGAAGCTGCTCCCTGTGACACTCCGATTGGCCAACCCGCTGCTGCTGCAGCTTCTCGCGCACCTCCCCTCCCTGCTCTTCCTTCTCTTCTTCCTTCTCCCCTTCCTCCTGCCGCTGCTGCTGCTGCTGCAGGCACTGCCGCGGACTCGTGCCGTCCCGCGTCTCACTCAGCGCCCCCATCATCTGCCGAGCCCCCCCTCCCGCCCTGCGCCACTCGCCCTGCCGCTCCGCCCTGCGCCACTCCCCCTGTTTGCCCCCCTTGTGCCATACTCCGACCCATGTCCCCCGCCCCCCCGGATCTAGCCTGCTTACCCCGCGCAGGTGACGTCAGCCCTGGCAAAGATCCCTGCCCCACGTTGGCTGTTGCTGACGCTGAGGCAGACAGAGGGGCGGCAGAACAGGAGAATGGGGAGAAGGCTAGGGCAGGCCGCGGGCAGACGAACGGGCAGACTGGCGGGCGAGTGGATGGGCAGCCGATTAGGGTTTCGGATGTGAACCCGCAGGGCAGTGGGACGGGAGGTGATGGTAGTGGGGGGGGAGGATTGAACGGTCGGGGCGCGGAGGAGGGGCGTGTGCGGAAGCGAGGGGGTGGAGGGGGAAGAGGGTCAGGGGGAGGTGGTTCAGGGGGGTGGGGAGGTGGCGGAAGCTGTGGAGGGGGGAAGGCGGGAAGTAATGGGAGGGGAGGGGCAGCAGGCGGAGGGGGAGGGGGTGGGAATGGGGCGGGGGGCGGTGCAGGGGGAGGCACTGGCGGTGCCGGGGATGGGGGAAGAGAGGGCGGCGGAGGGGGATGGGGAGGGAGAGGAGGGAGGGCGGGGGATGTTGCTAGTGAGGAGGAAGAGGAGGAGGACAGAGGGCGGAAGGGAGGGAGGAAGGCGGGCAACGGCAAAGGGGGTGGCAGGAGAGGCGGCAACAGAGAGGCTAGTGGGAATGGGAGGGATGCGAATGCTGGCAGCAGCAGCGATGATAGCTTGAGTGACCGTGAGGAAGATGAGGAGGAAGATGAGGACGAGGAGGATGGAGAAATGGACGGTTCAGATGATGAGAGCAGCCTCAGGCGCAGCAGCAACGCCAGCAGCCGCGACGGTAGCAGCAACGGCAGCAGCGGAGACAGCGACAGGGAAGGGGAGGAAGAGGAAGAGGAGGGAGAGGATGAGGAGGAGGACGAGGAAGAGGAAGAGGAAGAGGAGGAGGAGGAGGAGGAGGAGGAGGAAGGTGTGGAGCAGAAGACGCAGAGGAAGCAGCGAAGGAGCTTGAGCGGAGCTCGAAGTGCGCAGGGCGGCAGGCGAGGCTCGTGGGGGGGTTGGGACGAGAACGGCGGGAAGGGCAGCCGCGACAAAGGCAGGGGAGGTCCGGCCTCTAGCGACGGGGGGGAAAGGGACAGGGACAGGGAGAGGGAGAGGGAAAGGGAGAAGGAGAGGGAGAAGGAGGGGGAGCGGGAGGGGAGTCCGGACGTGGGGGGTGGGGGGGCGTGGGCGAGTGAGGCGGGCCAGGAGGGTGGCGGAGCCAAAGCAGGCTTGCGAGTGAGCCACCACAGGGGCAGCGGCCGGGCGTCAGAGGGGCCGATTTTTGGCGGAGACACGTCTCCCGTCATTCCCGTGCCTTCGAAAGAGGCTCGGCAGCCGCGTTCGCAGCTGGTTTGTCACCCGAGGCGGTTCCCGAAGCTGGCTTTAGCGGGGATAGTGGAGGGCGAGGGAGGCGAGGAGGGGAAGGAGGGGAAGGGCGAGGGGAAGGTAAAGGAAAGCGGGTGGGAGAAGGTGAAGGGACTGGTGAGGGAGAGGGAAGGGGAGAAGAGGGAGAGAAGGCGGAATGGTTTAGGGGAGGAATATGTTGGGGAGAGAATCAAGAGGGCTTGGGAGAAGGAGAAAGAGGGGGTGAGAATGAATGAGGGCGAGGGTTTCATGCAGAAGCAGAGGGAGAAGGGGGGCGAGATGGAGAAGCAGAAGAAGCGGGAGAAGGAGAAATCGAGGGAACGGAGTGTTGCAGAGGAGTGGGGAGTGGTGGCGGACAGAATGAGTGAGTGGGGGCCGGGGAAAGGCAAGGGGAAGGCAGAACCGGTGGGCAGCGGCGACTGGGAGAAGGAGTGGGAGAGAGGCGCCAAGGCTGGGTCCGCCGAGAGGGAAGCAGAGAGTAGGGGGAAGCTTAAAGAAGTGAAGGACGTGAGTGGGGGCATGGCGTGGGGGAGGGCAAGCGAGAGAGGGAGGGATCACTTGGGAGACTTGGGGAGGAGTAAGGGAAGAGAAGGCGGCAAGGAGGGAGGATTGGGGGAAGAGAGGGAGAAAGGGCGGGCGGTTTCGGAGAAGCCAGAGGGTGATGAGCGGTACGAAGCGGTTGAGAGAGTAAAGGACAAAGAGAACATCCGAGGACGACTCAAGGATGGGGGGGATGTGGAGAGGGGGGAGAAGAGCAAGCAGGAGGAGCGGAAGATCGAGAAGGGAAGGGCCAAGGGCCGGGAGAATCACCTGGCAGTAAGGAGCGGAGAGGGTGGGGAGGCCTGGATGGTTGAGTCGAAGAAAAAAGACAAGTCTGAGGGCTTTCTGGGTGGGAAACAACAGCGGGATGGGGTAGTGCCACATTCGTTAGTGTCACACTCGTTAGTTCCTTCGTTACTGGCTCGTGCTACTGTGGCCCCGCAGGTGGAGGGGAAGCGGTGGCGGAAGAAGGGTATTGTGGCGGGCCGGGCGCGGAGTGCTGTAGAGCAAGACACTATAGAGGATGTGCTCTTAGAGGATCCTAGGGATCGTGACACTAAGGAGGGGCTCAGGAAGGAGAGTGCTGTGAAAGGTGCTGAAGGAAAGGAGAAAGGGAAGTTGAAGGGTAAGGGAGAGAAGGAGAAGGAGGAGAGGGAAAGAGAGAGGGAGAGGGAGAGGGATGCGGAGAGGGGTGTTGTCAAGGGTGTTGGGGAGACCAGCGTGCCTCTCAGCGGTAATGGAGGCTTGAAGGCAAGCTGTAAGCGCAAGCGCAGTGCGGAGAGAAGTTTCTCGGAAGGTTCTGCTGCGGTGCGTGCGGTAACCTGTCACGCTGGTGGTAACCATGTGCCGGCCAGTAACCTCTCCCACCCTGGTAACCATAGGCATCCTGGTAACGGCGCCCATGCTGCTGGTAACCACATGCACGTTGGTATTCACGCTCAGGCGGGTAACCACGCACACGCTTGTAACCACACTGACGCTGGTAACCACACTGCGACTGGGGCAGATTTCGCAACAACAGCAGGGCCAGCAGCAGGTGGGACTGGGAGACCAGCAGCAGCAGAGTCGATGGGAGGAGCAGCAGCGGCAGGAGGGGTGATGGGGGGAGGAGAAGCGATGGGGGCGGTGGAGCGGATAGGCAGAGCACCAGTTGTACCTAGGGCGAGAAGCGCGGACGCGTTTGCAGCACAGAGGCATGGTGAGGGGACAGTGGGGCACAGGAGCTCAGAGGCGGTTGCAGGGCACAGGAGCATGGATGGGAGTGCAGGGCGCAAAAGTCAGGAGGGGTTGGGGGGGCCCATGTCGCCGCCTAGGGTCAGGGTCAAGGGAGCGGAGAGTGGCGGTGCTGCGAGGGGAGGCGAGAGCAGCAGTGGCGCGGGTGGCAGTGGTGGGGGCGAGAGGGAAGCGGTGCGCGTGTGCACGAGTCCCACGGGGCGAGGTGTGAAACCCAGCAGCACTGCCTCATCGTGGGGCGAAGGTGAGGCTGCGTGGGTGCTTGGTGCTTGGTGTGGGGTGCTTGGTTCGGCAACGGTGACAGGTTCATTGCCGCTGTGCTTCCTCCCTTCTGCCTTTCCTCTTCGCCATGTCGTGACGTGCGGGGTATAGGGCTAGTCGTGTGGGTGAGGGGGCCGTTCTCGCTTCGTCTCCATTATTTCCCTGCAAACAACCATCCTTGCATCATGCGTCAGTCACGTGCGCTGCTGTCTCATCCTCCATTTTGTAGACTCAACCCCTGATACCCATCCCTTTCATCCTCCCGCTCCTGCTGCCTACCCCTGTTTCCCCGTGTGTCCGCACCGCCCGCTACTGCCCTCCCTTCCTCCAGGTACCCGCGCAAAGCGCCAAACCCCACCACACCAAACCCCACCGCACCGAACCTCACCACTCCACACCCAACATGACAGGGTCTTCCGTTCACCAGGACATGCCACCACCAGCCACGACACTCACCACTCCCCTGCCACTGCCCTAAACCCCGGGCATGCTGTGCCCTGCTCTGCTCCTCCGCCTGCTGATTCTTCTCCGCATGCCACAGCTGCAGAAGCAGCAGCCCTGGCTCTAGACATGTTTGCTGCTGCCGCTGCTGCTGCGGAGGCAGGTGGGCAGACAAGCAAGGAGGAGGAGGACGAGGGGGGAGGAGAGGGAAGTGACAGCGGTGGCAGCAGCAGCAGCCGCAGCGGCAGCAGGAGGCAAAGGAAGAAACAGCGTTGGGGGAAGGAAGGGAGGAGGGATGGGAGAGAGCCGGGTGGGCCTGTGGTGGAATCTACACCGTTGGATCGGCTCGTGTTGCTCTCAGATGCACAGCCACGTGTCCATGAGGATTCGCTAGGGCGGCAGAGTGCAGCGTGGGTAGAGGGCAGAGAGGAGGGGCGGCAGGGTGATGGGGATGGCCTGGGTATGGCGCTGGCTCAGTCAAGTGCTGGTGTTGCTCAGCTAAGTGCGGGTGTCGCTCAGTTAAGTGCTGGCGGGGCAGCTGGGAACCGTGCTGCTTGGAGCTCGGGTGCTGGTGTTGGTAGTGCGATTCAAGTAGACGTGGAAGGTCAAGAAGGGGCAGGAGGAGCAGGTATAGGAGGAGGAGGGGCAGATGGAGGAGAGATTGTGAACGAGGAGCGTAGAAGTGATGAAGACGATTGTTTGTCCGGGTTAGACCTTATAGCAGCAGAGGCAGCGGAGGTGCTTGCAGTGAGGCTGCTTGTATCAGGTATGCAGCCCGAGCGGGCGGCAAGCCCGTCTTTAGCGGCGCTAGTAGAAGCAGCGATGCTGCCTTGTAGGGGCGACAGCAGGGCAGGGGACAGGGCGGATTTAGAAAGGGAGGATATAGGGAAGGTGGATACAGCAGGAGGTGTAGGTGGTGGCTGTGGCACGAGTCAGCATGAGGAGCAGGGCGAGGTGGGGCGGGCAGTGGGGTGGGATATGGAGAAGGCCGCTGGGTTGGGGCAAGCGGAGTGGGATTCAGGGGCGGTTGGTACAGCCAGACATGCAGGGGATGTGCAGGAGGAGGGGGAGAGAGGGGTTGGGGTTCCGGAGACAGGGGTTGGTTGGCATGGATTGCAGATGCGGTTAGAAGGAGGGTCCCATGGAGGGTTACAACGGGAAGGGTTACAACAGGAAGAGTTACAACAGGAAGGGTTACAACAGGAAGGGTTACAACAGGAAGGGTTACAACAGGAAGGGTTACAACAGGAAGGGTTACAACAGGAAGAGTTACAACAGGAAGGGTTACAACAGGAAGAGTTACAACAGGAAGGGTTACAACAGGAAGAGTTACAACAGGAAGGGTCACAACAAGGGAGAGCGTTGCAGGAGCTGTCTAGGCCGAAGCCAAGGATAGTGGACTTGAATGAGCCATGGCGGGAGGAGGACGAGGAGGAGGAGGCGCAGCAGCAGGAGGCGGAGGCGGAGGTGGTGGGAGAGGCGGTGGAGAGTGCAGCAACGGCTCGAGCTTCCTCCCCGCAGGCAGCAGTGGCTCCAGTAGCGGTTGCTACAGCGGCTACAGCTGCTATAGCTGGTACAGCCCCGGCGCCTCTCAAGGCGTCGTTGGTGCAAGAAGCAGTGGCTCCAGCACCCGCTGCTAGCCCTCGTGCTGCAGCATCAGAGGCTGCTCACTCCCAGCCAGCAGCAGCCGTCACGTCGCCTGCAGCTGGTGCGGGCCGTGAGGCAGCAGCAGCTCCAGCAGTGGGGCCGGCAGCAGCAACCTCGTCTGCAGTGCCTATGCCACTGGAAACAGGTGCCACTGGTGCAGCCCTTGCAGCAGCAGGAACAGCAGCAGCAGGATCAGCAGCAGCAGCAACAGCAGGAACAGGTGTGAGTGCGGGTGTCGGTATCAGTGCTGCCGATTGTGCTGCTGCGCGTGGTGCTGCTGCTGATGCTGCATGTGAGAGCAACGCCCCTGCCCCAGCTGCTGCTTTTGTGGATCCTCACCCTGCGGACCCCCACATTGGGGGACCCCTCCCATTGGGACCCCACCCTGTGGGGCATGAGCACGAGTGCCCCCAGGCTCCTAGCGCCCCTCTCCTCGTGTCGTGCAGCTCGGCTGGCGCAGGGCTGGATGATGGTGCCGTTCTTAGTGCAGGCGTGAGGGAGAAGGGGGCAGGGCTAGATGATGCACTGCACAGCACAGGCGTGAGGGAGAAGGGGGCAGGGCTAGATGTGCTGCGAGGCGCAGGGCTGGATGTGTCTGAAAGTGCTGGCACGGGGGAGAAGGGGGCAGCTGTGGAGGAGCAGAGGAGGGCGGAGGGGATGTGGGGCGTGGGAAAGGAGAAGGAGCGGAGTGAGGTGAAAGGAGAATGGGGTGGGAAGGCAGGGGGTGAGGAGACCGAGAAGGGAGAGGGGAAGGTGAAGGGGGAGAGGATGGAGAGGGATGAGGCGGGGAGAGAGGGCAATGTTGATGGGGTTGTGAGGAAAGAGAGAGGGGAGAAGAGGAAGCGGGAGAAGAGGGAGAGGAGCGAGAAGAGAGAGAAACGGGAGAAGAAGGATAGAGGGGAAGAGAGGGGGAAGGATAGGGGGCGAGGGGAGAAGGGAGAGAGGAGAGGCAAAGGGGAGAAGGAAAAGAGGCGTAAGGGGGAGAGGAAGGAGAAGGGGGAAGGGGTGAAGGGGGAAGGGGTGAAGGGGGAAGGGGTGACGAGCGAGAGGGGAGATAGGCCAGTGGGAAGAGGGGGAGGGGAAGATGGAGAGAGGGGGAAAGAGCGGATGAAGGAGGAGGAGGAGCACGTTGAGGTTGAGGGTAAGAGGAGCAGAGCGGCAACAGAGGAACCGATAGCACAGCTTCATACAGCATGCGCGCAACCAGCAGGGGCAGTTATAGCAGTGGCGCAGGGGACAGAGGCGCAGAGAGGAGAGGCAGCTGCATTGGCTGGGGTGGTGCCTGCAGTGGCTGCTGCAGGTGAGGGTGAGCAAGTGGTGGTGACGGGAGAGATGGGGGAGAAGGAGAAGACGGGAGAGAAGGGAGAGGTTGAGACAGAGGGGGAGGAGGTGAAGAAGGCGGAGGGGAGAGCAGGTGAGACGATGGTGGAGGGGAGGCAAGGGGTGGCGGGGGAGGGCGAGGAGAAACAGTGGTTGAAGGCAGAGTGGGAGGTTAACAGGGAGGAAATGGGCAAGTCAGAGAGTGCGCTGTTAAGGGATGGCAGGATGGCAGTGGGGAGGATGGGAGAGAAGTTGGGAGAGGAGATGGTGAAAGAGGAGGCAATGGAGGAGGAGGGGGTGGAGAGAGAGGAGGGTATGGTGAGAGAGGAGGGTATGGTGTGTTGGAATGACGATGCGCTGTCTGATGTGAGTGACGACGCTGATGCTGATGCGGACGCCAACGCTGATGTGGATGCCGTCGCCAATGCTGGTGCTGGTGCTGGTGCTGGTGCTGGTGCTGGTGCTGGTGCTCATGACATGGGCGCTGGAGGCTCTGCTGCTGCGCTCAGGGAGAAGAGGCCTGATGAGGAGAGCAGGCGTGATGGTGGTGCGGTACGGGAGGGTATGGAGCGGTTCAAGAGCGATCCTGAGGCTTCCAAGGGGGATGTCCTGCGCCCAGCCTCTGCCGAACCTGAACCCGAGCCTGAACCTGGACCTGAATACGAACCTGAACCGGGTCTGCAGAGTGATTCTTCCAATGCTCACGGTCGACTCAAGCCCACATTCTCTGATGTCACCGAACCTGATCCTTCCGAGCCTGCAGTCTCCGAGCCTAGCTTCGAGGCTCCTCGGAACGTGCCTCATGCCTCCGAGCCTGACACGACAGAAGTGGATGGTTACGAAGCTGCTGCTGCTACCGAAGCTATGGATATGGATGCTCTGTTATTGAGCCGACTCAAGCCTGCACTCTCTGATGTCACCGAACCTGATGCTGCCGAGCCTGATGGGTCCGAACCTGATGCTATGGATGAGATTTCTCCTCTTCATGTGCTCCCGGACTTGGAGGCAGCTTCGGCTCCAGGTTCGGCTGCGTCGGCTCTAGGTTCGGCAAGCAAGGGCCTGTCCTCTCCAGGTTCGACAAGCAAGGCCTCTTTGACTCCAGGTTCGGCAACCAGGCCTGGCCAAAAGGTTCGGAAGGAGCAGGAGCGGGGGCGGAGGGAGCTTCAGGAGATGATGGGGGAGGAGAGTAAGGGAGAGGTGGTTTTGGATAAGAGGAAGGGGGGAGAGGAGGAGAAGGGTGGGGAGAGAGAGGGGAGAGAGAAGGGGCGTGACAGTGGAAGGGAGGAAGGGAAAGGGAAGGTGAAGAAGGAAGAGAAGAAAGAAGGTGAGAGAAGGAAGGAAGGGGAGAGAGAGGGATACAGGAGGGAACGAGTTCACAGAAAGAACTCGAGCTCGTCTTTTGATGTAGGGCGGGAGAAGGGAGATGAGGGGAGGAGGGAGAAGGGAGAGGAAGGTAGGAGGGAAAAGGGAGAGGGGAGGAGGGAAAAGGGAGAGGAGGGGAAACGGGAGAAAAAAGAAGAGAGCAGGAGAGGCAAGGGAGAGGACAGCAAGCGAGAGAAGGGGGAAGAGAGCAAGAGGGGTAAGGGGGAGGAGGGGAAGAAAGAAGAGAAGAAGAGAGCTGAGAGTGTGGACAGGCGCGCAGGGAGTGAGAGGAGGGAGGGGAGCGAGAGGAGGGAAGGGAGTGAGAGGAGGGAAGGGAGTGAAAGGAGGGAGGGGAGTGAGAGGAGGGAAGGGAGTGAGAGGAGGGAAGGGAGTGAGAGGAGGGAAGGGAGTGAGAGGAGGGAAGGGAGTGAGAGGAGGGAGGGGAGTGAGAGGAGGGAAGGGAGCAGACGGGCCGTGGAGAAGGGGAGGGGGCGGATGAGCAGTGTGGAAGGGGAGGAGGACAGCGAGGAGGGCGGGATTGGTAGGGGGAGCAGGGAGGAGAGAGGGGGGAGTAGGGAGGAGAGAGGGGGGAGCAGGGAGGAGAGAGGGGGGGTAGGAGGGAGAGAAGCGAGGGAGGGTTCGAGTGGGTGGGAGAGGGAGAGAGAGAGGGAAAGGGAGAGTATGTTGGGAGGACGTGGATCGTGGAAGGAGGGAGAGGAGAGAGCGAGAGAGGGGAGGGAGGGGAGAGAAGGTAGAGAGGCAGGAGATTGGAGAGAAGGCAGAGAAGGGAGGGAGGGAAGAGAAGGGATGGAAGGGAGGGAACTGAGGGAGTGGAGGGAGGGCAGGGAGGAGTGGGAAGGAAGGGACGGGAGAGACGCAAGAGAAAGCGGCCGAGACAGAGACAGCGGCAGGGAAGGCAGGGAGGGGAGAGACGGCAGAGAAGGCAGAGAAGGCAGAGAAGGCAGAGAAGGCAGGGAGGGGAGGCGCGAAACGGGGTTCAGCGGTTGGCCGTTAGACCCGCCTCTGGATCCCGACGGTTTCCCCCTCCCCATCGACCCCATGCTGCTCCCGCGCTCCGCTGCCTCTGCTGCCGCCGCTGCCGCTGCTGCTTCTGCTTCGTGGCGAGACGGCCCTAGTCCTAGGCTGTCGGGAGGAGGCGCAGGAGGGGGCATGCGCAGGAGCCCTGACAGGGAGTTTTTCCTAGGGCCGGGGGGAGTAGGGGGGGCAGGGGGCGGGTGGGGTGCCGGGGGCCTTCACCCTCCCCCTCGCGGCCTCCCCCCCGGGCCAGGCAGGGCGTTTGGGGGAGCAGTGGGGGGGCCTATGAGTCCCGCTGTCATGGCTGCTGCTGCTGCTGCTGCCGCTGCTGCTGCTGGGATGCCGGCCGGGTGGATCGGGCCGCCAATGGGGCCGCGACACCTGGCGGCGCGCCGTGCTTCTGCTGCTGCGGCGGCTGCTGCGGTGGCTGGCGGGATGGGGATGAGGGGAGGGCCGTTGGGGGGAATGGGAGGGGGGAGAGGGGGCGCTGGAGGGATGGAGGAGCTTGTGGAGTTGCACAGGAGAGGGGGGGAGCATGTGGGAGGAGGAGGGCCTATCCGGGGGAGGCACAGCCTGCGGGAAGCTGCTGCGCTACGCCGCCCGGAGCATCTAGCAGCAGCTGGGTTTGGAAGAGGGGGCATGCATGAGGTTTGGCGGAGGGACGGGTGGAGGGAGGCTGGCATGAGGTTAGGCCCGGGAGGGCCCGGACCTGGGATAGGCCCGGGAATGAGGATGGGTGGTGGGTTCGGAGGGTATGGGATGGGGCCCGGGCCTGGCATTCCGTTTGTTTGGGGGGGAGGGGGGATGTATGGGGGGGGGGGGCGGGTCTCCCCCGTGACCCCAGGGATCATTTCCCCCTGGAGATGTGGAGGGGGGGCGGGGGGAGAGGCAGTGATGGGGGGAGGGCGGAGGGGAGGAGGGACTCGGATGGGGGGAGGATGGGGTGGGACGAGCCCGGAGGCAAGGAGAATGGGGTGATGGGGGGAGGGGAGCGAGGGGGACTTGGTCCTCCCACACCTTCTGGGGGAGGCCCAGGGGGGAGAGGGGGGGTGGGGGGGTTTCAGGCGGAGGGAAAGGGGAGAGGGGGTTTTCACCCGTCGCCTGGGGCAGGGGAGGGGGACTGGGGGGCGATGGGGAGCGGGGGGGAAGGGAGGGGAGGGGGAGAAAGGGGGGAGAGGGGAGGGGCGACAGGAGGGAGATCAGGAGGAGGGGGCAGTGAGTGGGGTTCGCCTGTAGGGGCAGGATCGAGTGGGCGGAAGCAGCAGACAAGCGGAGAGGGAGGGGGAGGAGGCAGTGGGGGAAAGGAGATGTTACGATCTGCTAACGGACACCGCCGTTAGAGCTGGGCTGATAATACTGGTACTAGTGCGGTACTTGGTGTTGGGCTGAGTGATTCTACCTCAACACTAGGAGAGTGTATAGTTTTGCTGTTTCAACGGGGAGCGGGCAGGTGTAGACCCTTTCTGGGGTTCTGCATGGATAGGCTAGATTCTTCTTTTCTAACCGTTGTCCTAGATATGATTCACTTAACAACACTACAATCACACTGCTTTGTAGCCCATGATAGATAGAATGTAGCTGCAAATTATTGGTGCGATTTGATTTTTTAGCTGTTGTGGTGAAAGATTGTTCCTAGTGGCCAAAGTTTAGAGGGGGCTTTTGGCTGCAATACCGGCGTATTTGTCCACGAATGGTTGTTGCAAATCGGTTTGAAAGCTTCGTGTGGGCGTTTCTCTCGACCCACATTGCCACCAGTTCCTTCGCTTCTTCGCCTCTCGCTACAAGGATCACCCTGGGTCTGCCTCTATTCACGTGCAGAATTCTCGTGTCGATCAGTCCGTTCACCAAGTACCGCTGAAGTCACTCATTTCGACGCGTAGCTGAAGCCTCTGAGGCCTCTTAAAGAGTCGAGATCTTATAAAGAGGACATGGCGGCGGCGGATGCAGTGGCGGAGGCGGTGAGCGGGCTGTGGCCTCTCAACGAGGGCTCGCGACAGAAGATCGTGGATCGCATCAGCACCAACCTCGTCAGCATATGCTTCTCCAAGGATAAGGTCCGTGCGACGGGTGTACGATTGTGCGACAAGTTGTGCGATGAGGCGTGCGACAATGTTTGCGACGAGACTCGAAATGCTGCAAGGCAGATAGACTCAAAACGGGCGTCGACGTATTCTCAGAGGGGCCTTCCGTGGTTGAGACGACTTTCGAGGCCACTCAGAAATCGGCAAAAAAAGGCCTTCCTTGGCCATGCCAGTTCCTCCGTGTTCGTCCTTCGTCCTTCGCTTCGTCCTCAGAAAGCGTTTCCGCTTCGTCCTTCTTCCTTGCAGAGCGGATGCAAGCAAATTGTTGGCTGCGTTCCGACTAGCCTCTTGCACTGATGAAGGCATGACGGGTATGATCCCCGTACGGACCGAAACATGTTTGCCTAGTCAATTGCGTTGGCTGCTTTCCAACTAGCCGTTTACGAGTGTTTCATGGGTTCCAAGCGAATTTGTCTACGCACATCGACGGTCCGTGCTGCTGTAGCTCTTTTTCTGCAACTCTCAGCGGGTCAGCGAGGCCAACGAATTTTCGTCTCTACGTTACTGCACGTTCGCGAAAGAACTCCGCGTTATCCTCCCTCCCCTGCTCCTCCCGTCCCCGCTGATCCCAGTCGCAGCGGGTAAACGACGGCGTGGCGCGCAGCCTGGCGGAGGCGTTACGATCTACGCGCGGCGCGCCAGCGCCTCCCTTCTCCCCACTCATTCCGCCGCCCTTCCCCCTCCCCCTTCCCTCCCCCCGATCCCAGGCGAAGCGGGTGTACGGTGCCATGGCGCGCAGCCTGGCGGAGGCATTCGCGGCCGCGCAGCAGCGCGCTAGTGCTCCCCTTCTCCCCCCTCAGTCTCCTTTTCTCCGATCCCAGGCGCAGCGGGTGGACGACGGCGTGGCGCGCAGTCTGGCGGAGAGCATCGTGGCGGAGACGTCACGACCTGCGCGCGGCACGCCAGTGCCTCCCTCCTCCCCCCTCACCCCTCCCCTGTCCCCCTCCCTCTTCCCCTTCTCCCCCCCTCCCCCCCCCCTCACTTTCCTCCTCTCTCTTTTCCCCCGATCCCAGTCGCAGCGCGTGGACGACGGCGTGGCGCGCGGCCTGGCGGAGAGCATAGAGGCGGAGGCGTTCGCGGCGACGCAGGCGCGCGCGCAGGAGGGGGGCGCGGCGGTGAAGGGCAGCGCGCTGGTGATGATGTACGCGCGGCACGCGAGCGAGCTCATGGTGGACGCGTTCAAGAAGGAGCGCACCAAGGGCGGAGCTGCGGAGGAGGGCGTTGAGGAGGTGAGGGTCGGTTGGGGTGGGTGCGCGCTGATTGGGGATGGTGATGCACGCGAGGCACGGCAGCAAGTTCCGGCACGCCAGCGAGCTCATGGTACCAAGGACGGAGAAGGCGCAGCTGCGGAGGGGGTGGGTGAGGAGGTGAGCTGGGGGCTTGGAATAGGAGTGGAGCAAGAGGGAGAGGGTGCAGCCGCAGAGGGGGAAGAGGGGGGTTGCTGGGGACGGGGAGGGGGGTTGCTGGGGACGGGGAGGGGGATTGCTGGGGATGGGGAGGGGGGTTGCTGGGGACGGGGAGGGGGGTTGTTGGGGACGGGGAGGGGGGTTGCTGGGGACGGGGAGGGGGGTTGCTGGGGACGGGGAGGGGGGTTGCTGGGGACGGGGAGGGGGGTTGCTGGGGACGGGGAGGGGGGTTGCTGGGAACGGGGAGGGGGGTTTTTGGGGACGGGGTTACAGAGATGAGTTGGGGGCTTGGGAGAGGGAGTGGGAGGAGGATTTGGGGTGCTTCTGTGATAAATGTGAAATGAGAGCGCTTTTGAGGCGTCTCAAAAACACTCTCATTTCATGTGGCTTTGGAGAGGGAGAGGGAGTGGGAGGAGGGACTGGGAGGGGGGGTTGGGGTGCTTCTATGGTCTGCACGCAGCATGTGCTTCCATGGTCTGCACGCAGCATGTGCTTCCATGGTCTGCACGCAGCATGTGCTTCCATGGTCTGCACGCAGCATGTGCTTCCATGGTCTGCACGCAGCATGTGTGTATTTCGAGTCTGACTCAAATACACCTGCTATGATATGATCTGCGTGGGTGTGAGCTGTGGGTGTGAGCTGTGTGTGTGAGCTGTGGGTGTGAGCTGTGGGTGTGAGCTGTGTGTGTGAGCTGTGTGTGTGAGCTGTGTGTGTGAGCTGTGGGTGTGAGCTGTGTGTGTGAGCTGTGGGTGTGAGCTGTGTGTGTGAGCTGTGTGTGTGAGCTGTGTGTGTGAGCTGTGGGTGTGAGCTGTGTGTGTGAGCTGTGTGTGTGAGCTGTGGGTGTGAGCTGTGTGTGTGAGCTGTGTGTGTGAGCTGTGTGTGTGAGCTGTGTGTGTGAGCTGTGTGTGTGAGCTGTGTGTGTGAGCTGTGTGTGTGAGCTGTGTGTGTGAGCTGTGTGTGTGAGCTGTGGGTGTGAGCTGTGTGTGTGAGCTGTGTGTGTGAGCTGTGTGTGTGAGCTGTGGGTGTGAGCTGTGTGTGTGAGCTGTGTGTGTTAGCTGTGTGTGTGAGCTGTGTGTGTGAGCTGTGGGTGTGAGCTGTGTGTGTGAGCTGTGGGTGTGAGCTGTGTGTGTGAGCTGTGGGTGTGAGCTGTGTGTGTGAGCTGTGTGTGTGAGCTGTGTGTGTTAGCTGTGTGTGTGAGCTGTGTGTGTGAGCTGTGTGTGTGAGCTGTGTGTGTGAGCTGTGGGTGTGAGCTGTGTGTGTGAGCTGTGTGTGTGAGCTGTGGGTGTGAGCTGTGTGTGTGAGCTGTGGGTGTGAGCTGTGTGTGTGAGCTGTGTGTGTGAGCTGTGTGTGTGAGCTGTGGGTGTGAGCTGTGGTGTGTGAGCTGTGTGTGTGAGCTGTGGGTGTGAGCTGTGTGTGTGAGCTGTGGGTGTGAGCTGTGTGTGTGAGCTGTGTGTGTGAGCTGTGGGTGTGAGCTGTGTGTGTGAGCTGTGGGTGTGAGCTGTGTGTGTGAGCTGTGGGTGTGAGCTGTGTGTGTGAGCTGTGTGTGTGAGCTGTGTGTGTTAGCTGTGTGTGTGAGCTGTGTGTGTGAGCTGTGGGTGTGAGCTGTGTGTGTGAGCTGTGGGTGTGAGCTGTGTGTGTGAGCTGTGTGTGTGAGCTGTGTGTGTGAGCTGTGTGTGTGAGCTGTGGGTGTGAGCTGTGTGTGTGAGCTGTGTGTGTGAGCTGTGGGTGTGAGCTGTGTGTGTGAGCTGTGGGTGTGAGCTGTGTGTGTGAGCTGTGTGTGTGAGCTGTGTGTGTGAGCTGTGGGTGTGAGCTGTGTGTGTGAGCTGTGTGTGTGAGCTGTGGGTGTGAGCTGTGTGTGTGAGCTGTGTGTGTGAGCTGTGTGTGTGAGCTGTGTGTGTGAGCTGTGTGTGTGAGCTGTGTGTGTGAGCTGTGTGTGTTAGCTGTGTGTGTGAGCTGTGTGTGTGAGCTGTGGGTGTGAGCTGTGTGTGTGAGCTGTGGGTGTAGCTGTGTGTGTGAGCTGTGTGTGTGAGCTGTGTGTGTGAGCTGTGTGTGTGAGCTGTGGGTGTGAGCTGTGTGTGTGAGCTGTGTGTGTGAGCTGTGGGTGTGAGCTGTGTGTGTGAGCTGTGGGTGTGAGCTGTGTGTGTGAGCTGTGTGTGTGAGCTGTGTGTGTGAGCTGTGTGTGTGAGCTGTGTGTGTGAGCTGTGTGTGTGAGCTGTGGGTGTGAGCTGTGTGTGTGAGCTGTGTGTGTGAGCTGTGTGTGTGAGCTGTGTGTGTGAGCTGTGTGTGTGAGCTGTGTGTGTGAGCTGTGTGTGTGAGCTGTGTGTGTGAGCTGTGTGTGTGAGCTGTGTGTGTGAGCTGTGTGTGTGAGCTGTGTGTGTGAGCTGTGTGTGTGAGCTGTGTGTGTGAGCTGTGGGTGTGAGCTGTGTGTGTGAGCTGTGGGTGTGAGCTGTGTGTGTGAGCTGTGGGTGTGAGCTGTGTGTGTGAGCTGTGTGTGTGAGCTGTGTGTGTGAGCTGTGTGTGTGAGCTGTGGGTGTGAGCTGTGTGTGTGAGCTGTGGGTGTGAGCTGTGTGTGAGCTGTGTGTGTGAGCTGTGTGTGTGAGCTGTGTGTGTGAGCTGTGTGTGTGAGCTGTGTGTGTGAACTGTGTGTGTGAGCTGTGTGTGTGAGCTGTGTGTGTGAGCTGTGTGTGTGAGCTGTGTGTGTGAGCTGTGTGTGTGAGCTGTGTGTGTGAGCTGTGTGTGTGAGCTGTGTGTGTGAGCTGTGTGCGTGAGCTGTGTGTGTGAGCTGTGTGTGTGAGCTGTGTGTGTGAGCTGTGTGTGTGAGCTGTGTGTGTGAGCTGTGTGTGTGAGCTGTGTGTGTGAGCTGTGTGTGTGAGCTGTGTGTGTGAGCTGTGTGTGTGAGCTGTGTGTGTGAGCTGTGTGTGTGAGCTGTGTGTGTGAGCTGTGTGTGTGAGCTGTGTGTGTGAGCTGTGTGTGTGAGCTGTGTGTGTGAGCTGTGTGTGTGAGCTGTGTGTGTGAGCTGTGTGTATGAGCTGTGTGTGTGAGCTGATGGCAGTTGTGTCGAGCTCTGCCTGTTGCCATGTGGCTTCTTTTGATGCGCCTTTAATGAAAATTCGTCTGCCCTCTTGGCGCCTTGAAGGGGGCCCTCTGCTGCTCCTACTGCATCTGCTTCCGCGTTCAACTGGTTTCCGCGTTCAACTGGTTTCCGCGTTCAACTGGTTTCCGCGTTCAACTGGTTTCCGCGTTCAACTGTTCTGCTCCTACTGGTTCCGCATGCATCTGGTTCCGCGTTCAACTAATTCCTTTCTTGTGTGGCAGTTTGACATCTCTGGTGGCAAGAGGGAGGCCTTGAGCAAGGAAGCAGCGGAGAAGCTTCTCGCCCCCTTGCTCAAGCCCAACAATGGCTGCAAGAAGGTGCCATTTCCAACCCTCACAACACCTGCTCATCACACACTACCTCTTCCGACCCTCACAACACCTGCTCACCACACACTACCTCTTCTGACCCTCTCAACACCTGCTCACCACACACTACCTCTCACACCCGTGCTTGCTATACCCGTGCCTGCCCCGCCCATACCTGCTACACCCATACCCGCTACACCCATACCCGCTACACCCATACCCGCTACACCCATACCCGCTACACCCATACCCGCTACACCCATACCCACTGGGCCTCTACACCACTACTCCCCCCCCGTGTTACCTTGCTTGACAATGCACATGTACTCATGTTACCCATGTCATCCTGTTACCTTGTTACCCATGTTACAATGTCATCCGGTTACCCTGTTATCCTGTTGTTACCCATGTCTACATTTGTAACCCTGTCTACCCTGTAACCCTGTCTACCCTGTAACCCTGTCTACCCTGTGACCCTGTAACAGGTGAAGCTCAGCAGCAAGGCGTTCACGCTGGAGGCTGCTGAGGTGGCGCACCAGGCGCTGACCAATGCGAGTGACACGCTGACGCATGCTGACCTCAGCGACATCATTGCCAGCCTACCGGTGGGTGTGAGGAAGCGATGTTGGGGGAGGGGAAAGTGGGGAAAAGGGGAAGGGGGGGGAAGGGGGAAGGGGGGAAGGGAAAAGGGGAGAAAGGGAAAGGGGAGAAGGGGAAAGGGGAGAAGGGGAAAGGGGAGAAGGGGAAAGGGGAGAAGGGGAAAGGGGAGAAGTGGAACGGGGAGAAGGGGAAAGGGGAGAAGGGGAAAGGGGAGAAGGGGAAAGGGGAGAAGGGGAAAGGGGAGAAGGGGAAAGGGGAGAAGTGGAACGGGGGAAGGCAAGTGCCAGAATGACCTCAGCGATATCATCGCCAGCCTTCCCGTGGGTGCAAGGAAGCGACGGGAGGGGGAGGGGAAAATGTGGGAGGGGGAGGGGGGAAGGGAGGGAAGGAGAGGGGGAAAGTAGGGGGAAGGGATGGGGACGGCAAGTGGGGTGTGGCCGTGGCCTATGTGGGGGTGTGACGTTTCATGGGATGTGTGTGATGAGGTGCAGCAGGAGGCGACGGGCATTGAGGTGATAGCTGCACAGGAGTCACATGAGCGGTGCAGGGCAGTTGGCTGCGGGTGGCTGTGTGCCTGTGCCCATGCCCGTGCCCGTGCCTGTGCCCGTGCCTGTGCCCGTGCCTGTGCCCGTGCCTCTGCCCGTGCCTCTGCCCGTGCCTGTGCCCGTGCCCGTGCCTGTGCCCGTGCCTGTGCCCGTGCCTCTGCCCGTGCCCGTACCTGTGCCCGTGCCCGTGCCCGTGCCCGTGCCCGTGCCCGTGCCCGTGCCCGTGCCCGTGCCCGTGCCCGTGCCCGTGCCCGTGCCCGTGCCTGTGCCCGTGCCTGTGCCCGTGCCTGTGCCCATGCCTGTGCCCGTGCCTGTGCCTGTGCCTGTGCCTGTGCCCTTGCCTGTACCTGTGCCCGTGCCCGTGCCCGTGCCCGTGCCTGTGCCCGTGCCCGTTCCCGTGCCTGTGCCCGTGCCCGTGCCTGTGCCCGTGCCTGTGCCCGTGCCTGTGCCCATGCCTGTGCCCGTGCCTGTGCCCATGCCTGTGCCCGTGCCTGTGCCCGTGCCTGTGCCCGTGCCTGTGCCCATGCCTGTGCCCGTGCCTGTGCCCTTGCCTGTCTAGGTCTGTGCTCGTCTGATGGCTGGCTGTGTTTTCTTCCTTGTCAAGCCTAACCCAACAAGGGCGTGCTGCTTCCGTTCCTGTGCCCATGTCTGTGCCCATGCCTGTGTTGGTGGGTGCGTGTGTGCCTCTGTCTGTGTGCGATTATATGGTGCCCATGTCTGTCTGTCTGGTTGTACAGGAGGAGGAGGCGCTGCAGGTGATCACGAGGGTCACATCGGCTCTTGAAGGCTGCAAGCTCGAGTCGCTCAACCTCTCAGACAATGCGTTTGGCGAGAAGGGTGTGCGAGCTGCTGCTGTCGCGCTCACCTCTCAAGTGAGTGCTCACCTCTCAAGTGAGTGCTCACCTCTCAAGTGAGTGCTCACCTCTCAAGTGAGTGCTCACCTCTCAAGTGAGTGCTCACCTCTCAAGTGAGTGCTGAAAATACACCCTCAAAGTGCGACTTTAGGCTGACTTCCGAGCCACGAGATTCGAATAGAGTCTGTCGGCCCTGACTTGAGGTTTAACTAATGTCATGAATCCGACTGTGTCTCGACTTGACTTGTGCTCATGTCTACTGCCCACCCTACCTCCGCTCCCCTCCTTTCTCTCCCCCCCACTTCTCTCCCCGATTTCTTTCAACCCTCCGTCTATATCCTCGCCTCCCCTCCCGTTCCTTCTCTCCCCCCTATATTCCTCCCCACTATATTCCTCCCCCCTATATTCCTCCCCCAGTTCTATCCCCCCTTCTTTCTGCGCCACCTCTACTTGTGCAACAACGGCATTAGCAGCGAGGCAGCAGCAGCGAGGCAGCAGCAGCCATCAAGCACCTTCTCTCGCACTCGTCCAACCCCTGACTCCCTCTGTCTTAGCCCTCTACCTGCCCTCCTCTCTTCCCTTTCTCTCCCTCCCCCCCTCCAGCCATCGCTGCGCCACCTCTACTTCTGCAACAACGGCATTTCCAAGGAGGCAGCAGCAGCTATCAAGGAGCTGCTGCCCGCGCAGGCAGTGGCGTCCCTCGAGACTCTGCACTTCTTCAACAACATGTCGGGTGAGCTGCTTGTTAAGGTTAGCCTCACCTCTTGTCGGGTGACTTGAGGGTTGGGGTGCGCTCAAGGAGGCAGCAGCGAGGCCATGAGGGAACTGCTGCCCGCCCAGGCAGTGGCGTCTCTTGAGACTCTGCATTTCTCCAACAACATGTCGGGTGAGATGGGTGCTGCGATTAGCATCACCTCCTTGGGAGGCAGGGAGGTGGGGAGTCTGGTCTGGGAGGTGGGGGTGGCCGCAAGGATGTAGCACCAGCAGCCATGGGGAAGCTGCTGCCCGCCCACGCGGTGGCATAGCTTGACACACTTCATTTCTTCGACCACTTGTTGGGTGCGCCTCGCTCACTTGGGGTTGCTCTGTACCACAGGTGGGCTTGCCGCTCAGGGTTTGAAAGCCTTGTTTTACTTCTTTTCCTCGCTCATTACATGACAGGCACCCTTCCCATTAGTGTACCCGTCGCACCTGTTGTGCCCGTTGTCCATCCATACTGCGTTGCTGCCCGAGGCATGAAGACAGCTGGTGCCGCCACATGCCCAACACCATGTGTGTTGTGAGTCGACTCACAGCACAGCTGGTGCCGCCACACGCCGTACACCATGCATATTGCTCCACATAGCCGTACACCATGCATATTGCTCCCATCCCAACCGTCTCTTTTTCATCATACCCATCACTCATTCCCGCCGCCACCACCACCACATGTAGGTGATGCTGGGGCGGCTATTCTGGCAGACGAGATGAGGGAAGCGAGGGGGCTCAAGGACCTGCATTGCTCACGTCTTTGCCCCCTCGTTACATCACATCACATTCACCACCCACCATATGCACCACCATCATATTCACCACCCACCATATGCACCACCATCACATTCACCACCCACCATATGCACCACCATCACATTCACCACCCACCATATGCACCACCATCACATTCACCACCCACCATATGCACCACCATCACATTCACCACCCACCATATGCACCACCATCATCACATTCACCACCCAGCATATGCACCACCATCACATGCAGGTGACCCGGGTGCCGCCATTCTGGCGGAAGTGGTGAGGGAAGCGAGGGGGGTCAAAAGACTTGCACTCCCCTTGTTACATGACGTTCACCACCATACTCACTGTCACCATCACGTGCAGGCGATCCGGGTGCCGCCATTCTGGCAGACGTGGTGAGGGAAGCGAGGGGGCTCAAGGACTTTCGATTCGCGTCCACTCGTGTGGGGACAGATGGCGCCAGGGCATTGGCTGACGCCATCGCTGCCAGTGAGTCCCATGCGCCCCTGCAGGTTTACAGTCACTCTCATTTGTGTCACTCTTGTGTCACTCGGATGTCACTCTGGTGTCACTCTGGTGTCACTCTGGTGTCACTCTGGTGTCACTCTGGTGTCACTCTGTTGTCACTCTGTTGTGCTGCTGTGCCCCTGCTTTTTGCTGTTCACTTTCTCTCTTCCCTTTCGCTCCCCTTCCCCATCCCATGTGTCACACTCAACCCTGGAGCGCCTAGACCTGAGAGACAACATTGGCCCCGAGAAGGTTGCGACTCTGAGAGCAGGGCAAGTCACGGTGTGCTGCTGCGGTGCTGTTCTGTGCTGTTCACTGTCCCCCCTTTCTCCTTGCTCCTTACCACCCTTCAGACTCCACCCTGGAGCGCCTAGACCTGAGAGACAACATGTTCAGCCCCGAGGGGGGCGCTGCCCTGCCAGAGCAAGCTACTGTGTTTGTCTGTCGCTTTCTGTGTGCTTCACTCGGTCCCGTCCCTCCTGTCTCTCCCATCCCATGTCTCAGACTCAACCCTGGAGCGCCTAGACCTGAGAGACAACATGTTTGGCCCTGAGGGGGGCGCTGCTTTGGCGTCGGCCCTGCACCACCACCCCAACCTGAAGCAGCTGATGCTGGGGGACACGGGTGAGTGGCAATGCGTGTGGGGCACTGTGGGGCACTGTGGGGCACTGTGGGGCAGTGTGGGGCAGTGTGGGGAGGGGTGGCAATACGGGGGTGTTGGTGGTTCCAGTGTTGAGGGAGGTGTGGGGGGCTGTAAGCAGGTATTGCTCTGGCTTCTGCCATCCATCACCACCCAAACCTGAAGCAGCTGATGATGGGGGACACGGGTGAATGGCACTGTGGGACAGTGTGGGGCAGTGGGGCAAGGAGGGGAGTAGCAATACGGGGGTGTTGGTGGGAAGGGAAATGTGGGGCACTGTAATCACGTTAATGCTGCTCTGTACTGACAACTGTCCTGCACCACCACCCAACCTGAAGCAGCTGATGCTGGGGGATACTGGTAGGGGCGATGCGGGGCAAAGTGGGGCAATTCGGGGCAATGGGGGGCAATGCAGGACAATGTGGGGTCAAGTGGGGAGGTGGCAATAAGGGGGTGTTGGTGGGCCCATTTTCGCAGGACTATAAGCAGCTGGTGCTGCCTGGATTAACTTTTCTGAGGATTCTCAAATGTCTTATGAGGCGCTACAAAAATCTTCTTCTGCTTCTTCCCCCTGGGACCATCAGCTCCGGGCAACAACGGAGTGGAAGAGCTCTTGACTTGAAACGCCTCTCCGCCTTCCTGTTCCCGCTTCTGCCCCCCTTCTCCACTCTTCCTTCTCCCTTCTTTCTTCTCCCCCACTCTCCCCCCCCCCCCATCCTCCTCTCCCCGCCCATCAGCGCTGGGTGACAACGGGATGGCAGAGCTCTTGGGACCACTCCGCCCTCCTGACCCCACTTCCCCTTCCCGTCCCTTTCCCCGCGTCCGCCTCTCCCCGCCCGCCATCCGTTCCCCCCGCCCCTTTTTTTCCTCTCCCCGCCCATACAGCGCTGGGCGATGAGGGGGTGGGCGAGCTCTTAAACAGCCTATCCGCTTCCCTGTTCCCACTCCTGCCCCCGTTCCCCCTTCTTCCTTCTCCCCCCGCGCTCCTCCTCTCCCCCCCCAACAGCGCTGGGCGATGACGGGGTGGCGGAGCTCCTGGACAGCCCCTCCGGTTCCCTGTTCCCACTTGTGCCCCCCTTCCCCCTTCCCCCTTCCCCCTTCCTCCTTCTCCCCCACTCTCCTCCTTCCCACGCACCCCCGCCCACCAGCGCTGGGCGATGACGGGTGGCAGAGCTCCTGGACAGCCTCTCTGTATACCTGTTCCCACTTGTGCCCCCCGTTCTCCTTCTTCCTTCTCCCCCACACTCCCCTCCCTCCGTCCCCCCTCCCCCGCCCACCAGCGCTGGGCGATGACGGGGTGGCAGAGCTCCTGGACAGCCTCTCCGCTTCCCTGAAGGCTGAACCCACTTCCCTAAACCCCTTGTTTCCCTCTCCCCGCCCACCATCCTTTCCCCTTCCCCCCCCTTTTTCTCCTCTCCCCGCGCACCAGCGCTGGGCGATGACGGGGTGGCAGAGCTCCTGGACAGCCTCGCCCAGTCCACTCCCCAACTCGAGGTGCGCTGGTAGAGGGACGGGGGTACTGGGGGAGGGTGTTGAATGGGGGGTAGAGGGTTGAAGGGAGAGGGGTGAGGGTGGGCTAGCTCAAGGGGCGCTGCAGCAGCCGAGCCCAGTCCACTCCCCAACTCGAGGTGCGCTGGTAGAGGGACGGGGGTACTGGGGGAGGGTGTTGAATGGGGGGTAGAGGGTTGAAGGGAGAGGGGTGAGGGTGGGCTAGCTCAAGGGGCGCTGCAGCAGCCGAGCCCAGTTCACTCCCCAACTCGAGGTGCGCTGGTAGAGGGACGGGGGTACTGGGGGAGGGTGTTGAATGGGGGGTAGAGGGTTGAAGGGAGAGGGGTGAGGGTGGGCTAGCTCAAGGGGCGCTGCAGCAGCCGAGCCCAGTTCACTCCCCAACTCGAGGTGCGCTGGTACAGGGTAGCGGTGGGGGGGTGGAGAGGGGAAGGGGAGAGGGGATAGGGGGAAAGGATCGAGGTGTGTTCCTCCCTTCACTGTCCCCTTGTTTCCTCCCTTACTCCCTTCATTGCCCCCTTGTTTCCTCCCTTCACTGCCCCCTTGTTTCCTCCCTTACTCCCTTCATTGCCCCCTTGTTTCCTCCCTTCACTGCCCCCTTGTTTCCTCCCTTCACTGCCCCCTTGTTTCCTCCCTTACTCCCTTCATTGCCCCCTTGTTTCCTCCCTTCACTGCCCCCTTGTTTCCTCCCTTACTCCCTTCATTGCCCCCTTGTTTCCTCCCTTCACTGCCCCCTTGTTTCCTCCCTTACTCCCTTCATTGCCCCCTTGTTTCCTCCCTTCACTGCCCCCTTGTTTCCTCCCTTCACTGCCCCCTTGTTTCCTCCCTTACTCCCTTCATTGCCCCCTTGTTTCCTCCCTTCACTGCCCCCTTGTTTCCTCCCTTACTCCCTTCATTGCCCCCTTGTTTCCTCCCTTCACTGCCCCCTTGTTTCCTCCCTTACTCCCTTCATTGCCCCCTTGTTTCCTCCCTTACTCCCTTCACTGCCCCCTTGTTTCCTCCCTTCACTGCCCCCTTGTTTCCTCCCTTCCTTCCTTCACTGTTTCCCCCCTCTCTCCCTACCGCACCCTCGCTTCCCCCACCCCCTCGCTCCCCGTACCCCTTTATTTTCACCAGCTGCTACGGTGCCCCCTTGTTTCCTCCTCCCTTCTCCTTTCTGCAGGTGTTGGAGCTGTTTTTTGAAACGCCTCGAAAATAGCTGGGCAGCAATGAGCTGCCCACAGAGGGAGCGGGGCGGGTGGCGGAGAGTCTCAGCCGTTCAACGTGCAATGCAATGGTGCCCCTTTGTTTCCTCCCTCCCCCTTCTTCCTCCAGGTGTTGAAGCTGGGGGAAACGAGCTGACAGAGGACGGAGCGGGGCGGGTGGCGGGGAGTTTGGGCTGTTCAGAGTGTGGTGCAATGGTCGGCCTTCCTCACTTCCCCCACCTCCCCACCTCCCCCTCCCCACCTCCACCTCCCCACCTCCCACTCCCCACCTCCCCCTCCCCACCTCCCCGTTCCCGCCTCCCCCTCCCCGCCTCCCCCTCCCCGCCTCCCCCTCCCCGCCTCCCCCTCCACACCTCCCCCTCCCCACCTCCCCCTCCCCGCCTCCCCCTCCCCACCTCCACCTCCCCACCCCACCCCTTCCCACCAGGTGTTGGAGCTGGGCGGCAACGAGCTGTCAGAGGAGGGAGCGGGGCGGGTGGCGGAGAGTCTGAAGCCGTTCAGTGCGTTGAGGAAGCTGGTGGTGTGCGACAATGAGATGGGCGATGCTGGCATAGAAACTCTCGTGGCCATCATTCCTGACCACCTGCGGTGAGTGCTGCTGTAGAGCAGGAGCAAGACTCCAAGAGCATTGTTGAGGAAGCTGGTGCTGTGCGACAATGAGATGGGCGATGCTGGTGTTGAGACGCTAGTGGCGATCATTCCCGACCACCTGCGGTGAGTGCTGCCCGTGGTTCAAAGGCAGTGTTGTGTTGACCCCAAAGGTTGCGTTGAGGGGGGTGGTGCGGTGAGGCAATGAGATGGGGAACGATGGCGTGGCGGCGCTAGTCAGCATTATCTGCGACCACCTGCGGTGAGTGCTGCTTTAGGGTTGGTGTTCAGGGAGGTGGTGCTGTGCGCTAATGAGATGGGATGGGCGATGCTGGCATAGCGACCCTAGTGGCAGTCATTCCCGACCACCTGCGGTGAGTGTTGCTGCTGCTGGTGGCAGTAGAATTGACTCAAGTATCTTCAGGGTCGGCCCCAGAGGCTGCGTTGAGGGGGCTGCTGCTGCTGATGGTTCTACGTGTGACATGAGTGGCTGTAGGATTGATGCGTGTGGCCTTATGAGTGACTCCCAGAGGTTGCACAGAAGAGGCTGTTGCTGTGTGTGGCAATGAGATGGGCGATGCTGACATAGGGACCCCTGTAGCCCGTACCCCCTACTGCCTGTGGTGAGTGCTGCTAGTGTGTGTATCGCAGGAGTGCGGTCTGGTTGCTCTCTACGGCTGGCTCGTTGTGTTCTCTGGTCCTCGTTTCTGCTCCACTTCCCTGAATGTTCTCCTCTTCGTCTGTTTCACCTGGTGTAAGGTCATTCTCACAGCTGCCCCTCTCCGTCATTCCGCTGTCTGGCATTGTTTGTCTTTTTTCATGGTGCCAGGTCCTTGGAAGAGCTGGATCTCTCCACCAATGATATTGGCCGAAAGGGTGCGGAAGCCGCTGCCCGGGCAGTCAAAGATTTGGAGTCGTTCAAACTCCTCACCGTCAATGGTAACCACATCTCCGTTGATGGAATCCGGGCAGTTAAAGAAATTCTGGGCGTTCCGATTGAGGATGGGGAGGAGACGGATGGTGGCAAGGGTGTTTTGGGACCGTTGGATGAGAACGATGAGGAGGGGGAGGAGGATGAAGATTAGAAGCAAGCACAAGAGAAGACGGGCTACGCAGCACACTCGGTCTGGTCTAAAAGAATGACATACCATGATCAAGAATGGCATCAAGAATGTCTCAGTGGCTAACATATAGACCGCTCCACCCGTGCCATTGTGTGCATGCCAATGCAACAAACTACATTTTTCCCTCCACACGTGATACACTATACGTTACATGGGCTGTTTACACAGGTTGTTGCAGATGTATCTACGGTGCTCTCAATTACTAAGGATATTCGGAACTAAGGGATAATAGATGGTGAGACTAAGGGAGAAGTTTGGTGTACCCCTTAAAGCTCAAGGCCCAAATTGCAGAGCGCGCGGGGCAAGCTTACTAAAGTTGATGAGAATGGTGTTTTGAGTGTTGTTTGGCTGCGAATTGTGGTTACGTGAAGTGCGATTCAATTTGATTGGCCAACAGTTTTTTTGTCGAATAGGAGAGAAGGAAACACCAAGAATATTGTGAGTGCAATTTGGGAGAACCAAATCGAGTTGCTCCCAGGGGTTTGCTTAGTCAGCGAAAACCCTAGGGGTGTAGCGAGAAGCTGGGCGAAACTGGATAGCCCAACTTCAACAAGGTCAACCTTCCTCTCCCGCCACCCAAAGGGCAACCTTAGTAAGGTTGAACAATTTGGGCCTTGAGCTTTAAAACCCGAGTACAGCATGGTAATTTTCAAGTTCAAGATTCTTGAACTTGGAAGTCGCCAAAAACAGGGTTACCCTGCTTGTTTTGAAAAAACTCTCGCGACCCCAGGCAATCGTCCTGCGACAACGGAACCCGAGTGCCCGAAACCAGAACTAACGCAATGATCGCCAACCATATGCACTGTTCACCACTCACATAACTTGCTTACCAAGTAGTACTCATAGGCTAGGAGGCTCCAAGGCAAAAACTAGCGCTAGTTGGCAAAAGCGAGTCGATGATAGGTTTTTTTTTTGTGCGGAAAGAAATATAAGTCCACCTCAACCATCTTAGTCAGTGCACGCTCCGATCTCTCCCTCGCGTCACCGGTCTCGTGTTACAACCCGGGCACCCACGGCACTTACGTTAGTAAACGAGATTCGCGTTACTCGAGTCTTGCATTCAAGCTCGCGTCGCACACGCAGGCTCTTGTCACACTTGCTGCGGTTCAGTCTCGTGTCACGATCGTACCGTTTTAGGCACGGGTCGCTCACGCGAATGCCGTAGTGGTTCGCGTGACGCACTCAGCCGTTAGTCGCACATGTTCCTCCTCGTCGGCCGCTCTTTCCCACGTCAGACCGCTTTCCTCGTCGCCCGCGCTTTCCCTCATCACCCTCCCCGACCCTCTGGTCGCATATGTTCCCCTAGTCGCCCGCGCTTTCCCACGTCAACCACACATCCCCTCGTCGCAATTGCTGATAGAAAACATACCGCGCTTCAGATCGTCACCCGCGCTCCCCTCATCACCCTCGTCGACCCGCACCGATCCTCGCCGCCCTCACCTCCCTTAGTCACCCACATTCCCTCTCGTCGCTCGCGCTTCCCCTCATCACCCTTGCCGACCCTCGCCGCCCTCGCCTCCCCTCGTCGCCCGCGCGTCCCGTCGTCGGGCTTGCCTCCCAGTCACTCGCGCTTCCCCTCGTCATCCGCGTTTCCATCCGCTCTTCCCATCTCACCATCTCCAGCCCGCCCTTCCTCATTCCTTCCGAAGGGGTGGGACAGAGGGGGAGGAACAGACGGGGAGGAACATATGGGGAGGAACATATGGGGAGGAACATATGGGGAGGAACAGATGGGGAGGAACATATGGGGAGGAACATATGGGGAGGAACAGGTGGGGAGGAACAGATGGGGAGGAACAGATGGGGAGGAACAGGTGGGGAGGAACAGATGGGGAGGAACAGATGGGGAGGAACAGATGGGGAGGAACATATGGGGAGGAACAGGTGGGGAGGAACAGATGGGGAGGAACATATGGGGAGGAACATATGGGGAGGAACAGATGGGGAGGAACAGATGGGGAGGAACAGATGGGGAGGAACATATGGGGAGGAACATATGGGGAGGAACAGGTGGGGAGGAACAGATGGGGAGGAACAGATGGGGAGGAACAGGTGGGGAGGAACAGATGGGGAGGAACAGATGGGGAGGAACAGATGGGGAGGAACATATGGGGAGGAACAGATGGGGAGGAACAGATGGGGAGGAACAGATGGGGAGGAACAGATGGGGAGGAACATATGGGGAGGAACAGATGGGGAGGAACAGATGGGGAGGAACATATGGGGAGGAACAGATGGGGAGGAACAGATGGGGAGGAACAGATGGGAGGAACAGATGGGGAGGAACAGATGGGGAGGAACAGATGGGGAGGAACAGATGGGGAGGAACAGATGGGGAGGAACATATGGGGAGGAACAGATGGGGAGGAACAGATGGGGAGGAACATATGGGGAGGAACAGATGGGGAGGAACAGATGGGGAGGAACAGATGGGGAGGAACAGATGGGGAGGAACAGATGGGGAGGAACAGATGGGGAGGAACATATGGGGAGGAACAGATGGGGAGGAACAGATGGGGAGGAACAGATGGGGAGGAACAGATGGGGAGGAACATATGGGGAGGAACAGATGGGGAGGAACAGATGGGGAGGAACAGATGGGGAGGAACATATGGGAGGAACAGATGGGGAGGAACAGATGGGGAGGAACAGATGGGGAGGAACAGATGGGGAGGAACAGATGGGGAGGAACATATGGGGAGGAACAGATGGGGAGGAACAGATGGGGAGGAACAGATGGGGAGGAACAGATGGGGAGGAACATATGGGGAGGAACAGATGGGGAGGAACAGATGGGGAGGAACAGATGGGGAGGAACATATGGGGAGGAACATATGGGGAGGAACATATGGGGAGGAACAGATGGGGAGGAACAGATGGGGAGGAACAGATGGGGAGGAACAGATGGGGAGGAACAGATGGGGAGGAACAGATGGGGAGGAACAGATGGGGAGGAACAGATGGGGAGGAACAGATGGGGAGGAACATATGGGGAGGAACAGATGGGGAGGAACAGATGGGGAGGAACAGATGGGGAGGAACAGGTGGGGAGGAACATATGGGGAGGAACAGATGGGGAGGAACATATGGGGAGGAACAGATGGGGAGGAACAGATGGGGAGGAACATATGGGGAGGAACAGATGGGGAGGAACAGATGGGGAGGAACAGATGGGGAGGAACAGATGGGGAGGAACATATGGGGAGGAACAGATGGGGAGGAACAGATGGGGAGGAACAGATGGGGAGGAACATATGGGGAGGAACAGATGGGGAGGAACAGGTGGGGAGGAACATATGGGGAGGAACAGATGGGGAGGAACAGATGGGGAGGAACAGATGGGGAGGAACATATGGGGAGGAACATATGGGGAGGAACAGATGGGGAGGAACAGATGGGGAGGAACAGATGGGGAGGAACAGATGGGGAGGAACATATGGGGAGGAACAGATGGGGAGGAACAGATGGGGAGGAACAGATGGGGAGGAACATATGGGGAGGAACAGATGGGGAGGAACAGATGGGGAGGAACAGGTGGGGAGGAACATATGGGGAGGAACAGATGGGGAGGAACATATGGGGAGGAACAGATGGGGAGGAACAGATGGGGAGGAACAGATGGGGAGGAACATATGGGGAGGAACAGATGGGGAGGAACAGATGGGGAGGAACATATGGGGAGGAACATATGGGGAGGAACATATGGGGAGGAACAGGTGGGGAGGAACATATGGGGAGGAACAGATGGGGAGGAACAGATGGGGAGGAACAGATGGGGAGGAACATATGGGGAGGAACATATGGGGAGGAACAGGTGGGGAGGAACAGATGGGGAGGAACAGATGGGGAGGAACATATGGGGAGGAACAGGTGGGGAGGAACAGATGGGGAGGAACATATGGGGAGGAACAGATGGGGAGGAACATATGGGGAGGAACAGATGGGGAGGAACAGATGGGGAGGAACATATGGGGAGGAACAGATGGGGAGGAACATATGGGGAGGAACATATGGGGAGGAACAGATGGGGAGGAACATATGGGGAGGAACAGATGGGGAGGAACAGATGGGGAGGAACAGATGGGGAGGAACAGATGGGGAGGAACATATGGGGAGGAACATATGGGGAGGAACATATGGGGAGGAACATATGGGGAGGAACAGGTGGGGAGGAACAGATGGGGAGGAACATATGGGGAGGAACAGATGGGGAGGAACAGATGGGGAGGAACAGATGGGGAGGAACAGATGGGGAGGAACATATGGGGAGGAACATATGGGGAGGAACAGGTGGGGAGGAACAGATGGGGAGGAACAGATGGGGAGGAACATATGGGGAGGAACATATGGGGAGGAACAGATGGGGAGGAACAGATGGGGAGGAACATATGGGGAGGAACAGATGGGGAGGAACATATGGGGAGGAACAGGTGGGGAGGAACAGATGGGGAGGAACATATGGGGAGGAACAGGTGGGGAGGAACAGATGGGGAGGAACATATGGGGAGGAACAGATGGGGAGGAACAGATGGGGAGGAACATATGGGGAGGAACAGATGGGGAGGAACATATGGGGAGGAACAGATGGGGAGGAACAGGTGGGGAGGAACATATGGGGAGGAACAGATGGGGAGGAACAGATGGGGAGGAACATATGGGGAGGAACATATGGGGAGGAACAGATGGGGAGGAACATATGGGGAGGAACAGATGGGGAGGAACATATGGGGAGGAACATATGGGGAGGAACAGATGGGGAGGAACATATGGGGAGGAACAGATGGGGAGGAACATATGGGGAGGAACAGATGGGGAGGAACAGATGGGGAGGAACATATGGGGAGGAACATATGGGGAGGAACAGGTGGGGAGGAACAGATGGGGAGGAACAGATGGGGAGGAACAGGTGGGGAGGAACAGATGGGGAGGAACAGATGGGGAGGAACATATGGGGAGGAACAGAGGTGGTCGCTTCCGCCATCACAATCGAACAGCGTTTCGATCCCCTCTCTGCTTCCCCCCATCCCCCTCCCTGCTTCCCCCCATCCCCTTCCCTGCTTCCCCCCATCCCCTCCCCTGCTTCCCCCCATCCCCCTCCCTGTTTCCCCCCATCCCCTTCCCTGTTTCCCCCCACCCCCCTCCCTGTTTCCCCCCATCCCCTTCCCTGCTTCCCCCCATCCCCTTCCCTGTTTCCCCCCATCCCCTTCCCTGCTTCCCCTCATCCCCTTCCCTGCTTCCCCCCATCCCCTCCCCTGCTTCCCCCCATCCCCCTCCCTGCTTCCCCTCATCCCCTTCCCTGCTTCCCCCCATCCCCTTCCCTGTTTCCCCCCATCCCCCTCCCTGCTTCCCCCCATCCCCTTCCCTGCTACTTCTCATCCCTCCCCCTGCTTCCCCCCATCCCCCTCCCTGCTTCCCCCCATCCCCTTCCCTGCTACTTCCCATCCCCCTCCCTGCTTCCCCCCATCCCCTGCCCTGCTTCCCCCCATCCCCTTCCCTCCTTCCTCCCATCCCCTTCCCTGCTTCCCCCCATCCCCTCCCCTGCTTCCCCCCATCCCCCTCCCTGCTTCCCCCCATCCCCTTCCCTGCTACTTCCCATCCCTCCCCCTGCTTCCCCCCATCCCCTCCCCTGCTTCCCCCCATCCCCTGCCCTGCTTCCCCCCATCCCCTTCCCTCCTTCCCCCCATCCCCTTCCCTGCTTCCCCCCATCCCATCCCCTGCTTCCTCCCATCACTCTCATTCTCCTTCCTCCTGCACTCACTCTCTCAGTCCTCTCGCACTCTCTCTCTCTCTCTCTCCGTCCTCTCGCACTCGCACTCTCCTTCCCGCCACCCTCAGCCCTCCTTCCCCTCACCCTCTCCCCTGTTCCCACCTGCCCTCCCCATCCCCGCCTTTCCCTCTCTGCCCTGCCCTTCCCTTCTCCATCCCTTCTCAACCCTTCCCTTTCATGTCATGCCCTCCCCTTCCCCCTCACCTTCCGCCCTCTAGTTCCCATGCATGTGCACCCATCACTGTCTCCCCATACCAGTACATGCTTTCATCATGTGCGCTTGCTTGTGTTCCCCTGCAGTTGTTCCCTTGGCACCTCACACCACCGCCCCAAATTTTCAGTGGTGAAGCAGAGGAGCAAGCTGAGGCGCAGCTAGAGCTAGTCCATGCTTTACACCGTACCACCACCTGTTTCTTGCCTGTTGTATGCAAGCATGATACTGTATTACTGTTGGAGATATCCATCTCAAAAGCACAATATGTAATTTTGTTTCTGCAGTGCAATATATTCTTCCAAGATGCATGGGCACTAAGAGTGTCAGAAGGGTAGATAGAGGCATGATCCTGATACTTTTGATTGTACCCTTCTCAAGGCCTTGAAAAAAAGATGAGGGGAACTGGTTTCACTACGAGCGTGGCATGGGATGATGGGCTTAGACGAGTTGCTGTGCCAGAAACTCTTCATTGGTGTCACTGCACTACCCAGGGAGAGGGAGGGAATACGAGGGATGGGGAGGGGGAACAAGACTAAAGTCAAACAGGGGAGGTAGGGAAGAGGGGGAAGAGGGAAGCAGGGCTGAGAGGGAAAGAAGGAAGTACCGTAAGAAGAGGGAGGGAAATGAGGGGAAGCAAGGGGGGAACTGAGGAGAAGCAGGGAGGGAAATGTGGGGAAGCACGGATGAGGGGAAGAAAGGGTGGGCCATGGGCCTAGAGGGCCGTGAGAGAGGGGGGGGGGTGGACTTGAGGGACGGGAGTGGCAGGCTGGAGGGGAGCAGGAGAGGAGGAGGGGAGTGGCATGGGGAGCAGAGCAGAGCAGCATTGCGACCTGCCTGCAGCGTCATCCCCCACGGCGGAGATGAGGAAGGGCGCGGCGGAGAGTGCTGCCATGCACTCCGCTATGTTGTGCGCCACCCCCCCTGCGAGGAGGAACAGGGGAATGGCGCGGCTGGCAGAGAGAAAGGAAGGAGGAGGGGGGGAGGGGGAGAGGGGGAGGGGCGGGACACACATGAGAGGTTGAGACATGCCGCAGTGGACGACACTCCCCCCTCGAATTCCTTTCTCCTGCCCTCCCTCCCTGCCTCATGCGGGAGGAAGAAAACGGGTGGGGGAAAGGGAGGAAGGGGACAACCATGAGGGGTAGGGGTTGGAAAGGGGCGGGGGCGGGTGGAGGTTTGGCGAGAAGGGGAATAGGAACCAGAGGATAGGGCGCAGAGCATAGGGCGCAGAGCATAGGGCGCAGAGCATAGGGCGCAGAGCATATGGCGCAGAGCATAGGGCGCAGAGCATAGGGCGCAGAGCATAGGGCGCAGAGCATAGGGCGCAGAGCATAGGGCGCAGAGCATAGGGCGCAGAGCATAGGGCGCAGAGCGCAGGGCGCAGAGCGCAGGGCGCAGAGCGCAGGGCGCAGAGCGCAGGGCGCAGAGCGCAGGGCGCAGAGCGCAGGGCGCAGAGCGTAGGGCGCAGAGCGTAGGGCGCAGAGCGCAGAGCAGAGGGGGCAGAGCGCAGGGGGCGGAGGGGGCAGAGCGCAGGGGGCAGAACGCAGAGCGGAGGGGGCAGAACGCAGAGCGCAGGGGACAGAGCGCAGGGGGCAGAACGCCGGGGGCAGAACACAGAGCGCAGGGGGCAGCGCAGAGTGCAGGGGCGCGGAGCACGTGTACCTGTCCTGGCGTGGTGGTGCCTCGTTCCAGCGCCCTCTCCACGCTGCTTGTCGACCAGACCAGTGCGCGCGCTGGACGTTTGCGGGTCGACGCGCTGCTAGACGACCAGTGAAGTTTGCGTAACCCTAAGGGTCTGCGTAGTGTGGACGCCCCACAGCGTGGAATTGCCCTAAGTAATAGGCACTTTCGAGCCCAGTTTACGGGAGCAATGCCCCGAAACCGTCGACCTACGTGCTGCCAGTGGTAATCGACGTGCCTAATACAACACGAAGTACTCCCATATCGCGCGATGTCGAGTTCTTCTCAACGCTCCTTCCTGCGACCCAGCATGTACGTGTTCTGGCTCGTCACCTACGTCACCTCCTTCCTGCGGTTATTTCACACGTGAAGTTGTTAGCTTGATTGATCGTGGTGTTTTTTCTCCTCACTCGTTCTGAGGTTGTTGGTGCTTCCCGTTTTCGTTTTTGCTAGTGGTTGCATTGGGCAAGGATGTTCTCCACTTCTTGATCCTGATTGGTCAAAGAACAATCCGTGCGACACTCCTTCCAGTCGCCCCACACTGCCCTGCAAGTTTGTCAAAGCTTTGCGTTTGGCGAGACCCCTTTCCTCCTCGTCAATCAATCGCTTTTTCGCTACACTGACTATGCCGAAATAATTGTTTTTCAGGTTTCGCCAACACTATTTCAAACCCACATAACTTGATAAAACACCATGTGGTACTCGGTTTGGAATCTGGATGCATGCCGATGATTGGTGATACATTTCAAGGGTTTTCAGCATTAGAATCTTAGTGTATGTACAATTGAAGGTATACACATGTTTTAAAAACTGGGGCATGTAAAAAGAGTGTACATTAGGTCTGGAAGTTTAGGTATATCCTTCGTTACTGCTGTCGCGTCACCACGCCACAACGCACATCACCTCTACCCTACCACCACCCGTTCTCATCCACTGCTGAGGAGCTTTTCATACAAAACAATTAACCCGGTAGCGTCGTTTTTCCCCGGTAGCGGGCTCGGTAGCGCTACCCGGCTCTTTAGTGCTACCGGGCTCGGTAGTGCTACCGGGCTCCGAGCTACCCTATCCCCTTCCCTCACCCCCCCACACCCCAAGCCTACGGCATCACTGTCGCCTGCATGTGCTCCTCCGAGGAGAGGACGGCCCTTGCAGCAAGGTGGTGGACCATGGACAACAACGAACCCGCCCTAAACATTGCTGGCGTGGCAAGTGAGGGTCTCTTCTCCTCGTTGAAATTGATCTGAGACGGACATGAAACAGCAAGGAACGCGTGCTTTGTTCCACAGTCGTGACGCCAGCACGATGAATGTGCGATGAAATAGCTCCAGCCAGACAAATCTTGTGATCATCGGCAACGAGACCTACGACACGTATTCGTTGAATACTCGTCCTCACTCTACGGTGCTTGATGACGCGGATATGCATCCGTGCGGCTTGAATGTTCTGTGCAAGCTGGCGACAGCTTGAAGTTCTTTTTGTTATTTTGTTTCAATGCACGTTGCAACTGCACTGTGCACGACTGTGCTGTTGCACTTCGCAATGCGCCCTTGCCAGCGCCGATTCCTCCAGCGCTGACTCGGCATCTAACTTCTGGCGACAGGTGACTCAGCAAATTGACCTCACTTCAACTTCGCTCGCATATTTCGCCCACGAGTTTCGCTTATGTCGCCTTGACGAGACGAGCCGCGTCCAAAGTGCAAAATGTTTCGCAAACGTCTCGTTTCCCCCCCTCTTCCATCCAGCAACACGCGATGCGACGCAAGCCATCTCTTCGGTTCGGTCCCACGAGCGAAATCGTTCTCAAGCTACAAGATTCAGTCTCAAGTTCCCAGCCCAACCAGGATACAAATACTTCGATAGAGATTGAGCACGGAGCTCATTTCATCGCAGATTCCTCAGCGCTGATTACGCAGCCCTGTTTCAGTTCGTTCTTGCTCACGACACTCCGATTGCAGTCATATTGGGCTACAACTCGCTTAAAGGTTGACCGTTCTTTGGCAAACCATCCCAGACTCACACCCTGTGCGCCACGCAGTGCGCCGAACAGGTCTCTCCGCATACTTCACGCGATTAGCATTCTTAGCAAGCTCTTCTCCCCAATCCCTATCCTCCGCGGCGCCGTAGACTAAATTCCGTTCGTTATTATGAAAATCCGCGGGTTAGTACGCGCATGCAAGCATCTCCGACGCGGAGCCAGGACTACTAACGCGGATTACTACGCGGGGGAGCATTTACAGAATGTGACTACATCGGTGCCGGTCGCTACCCCCCCAGGGCTTCACCCGGCACAACTCGCATCATTCCCCGTCAGACCGTATCGCCTCCCTTCCGCAGACCGCGTTCCGTCGCATGCTACCGTGGAAAGATTTTTTGGTATTGCCGCCGCAGAAAACGCAGATATCGAAAAACATCGGGAAGGAAATGGGGGGCTTGCGGGAGGCTCTTCGGCGGAGGAGAGAACGTGTTTTACCGCGACAGACGCCTTTGAGCTGTTGGGAACGCGACGTGCGCAGAACTTAACGAACGCTTCGCGGCCTGGGAGACTATCAGCATGCAGGGAGTGTGCGGTATGTATTTGTGACTTTAACGGGGGTGAACTGGTTCGCTCTCTACCCTGCGCGCATCGGTTCCACGTCAGCTGCATCGACCACTGGCTCGCCGATAGGACTACCTGCCCCGTGTGCCGAGTAGATCTTAAAGCGACAGTATCCGATGTGACTGTAAACGAGGGCGTGACAATGAAAGGGGAACGAATTGATGCGGTCTCCTGATCGACTCCCACGAGAAACGGCTCGTGAGCCTCCGGATTTTGGCGACTCGCGAATTCGACTTCTCACAACAGACAATAATAACTTCGTCCGTTCAATCTACGATTCGGCTGCAGGGAAGAGTTGGTGGTGGCAGATGCCCTATGATTAGCGTAAAATAAATTAAACCTCTTCCCACTCAGATGCCTAACTGGCGTGGGAACGTTCAACGCATGCAGATCACGAACTGCTCGGGCCTACAATGTAAGATGGCGATCCTGGCGCGGAAAGGAAGCGGTGGGTGATGATGCTGGCATGAGCTGCTGTTGCTGCAGGCAACCATTGAAGATCGAAGCCACCGCCATCTTTGAAACTTCGACTAGCTACACTTCTTCAGCTGTTTTGTTCAAATACCGTACAAGTTGCACCAAGAAGATAGCTTTCAGCTGGTTCCCATTGCTTTCATGCTGAAATGCAGGATTGAAATGGCAACTTTGACTGATCAATTGTGATGCGATCATTCTATTTGCCATCAAGATTGGTATGGAGAGGGAACACTAAAATTGAAATGCTGGGACGCCTATAAACTGTATCGGCAGTTGTGGGTTCGCCTATAACCTCCCCGATCCTATCGAGGTTATCGCGATCCAGGTTTCGATTCTCTCAAACAGCTTCTTTACTGTAGTCCTCCGTGTTACGGTCAACAGAATGCTTACTTACAGTACAATACAAAAACTCCCTGCATGCATCTGAACTGAAATTGCAACTGCTTGTATCCATTCTTCCAGCCGCTAACTGCGAAGAGTAATACGTACTCGGTACTGCTTGTACTGTGGGTGGATACGTAGTCGGCTAGCCGTGCCGTCCAACTGCTAGCAGCGCAAATTCCCCTTGCTTCATGAATCCAAGAAATCTACGGTCCACCCATACAGCGTTCAAATGCTGCACACTCAAGACTAAATGACGACGCGCGTTTTACTTGGCAGTCGGTGTAGGCGGAGAGGCAAGCCCACTGCTGGTGGTATGTCGTCGAACACTCACGTGACTCTGCCTGTTACTCGCGCACGTCTGCATGGAGAAAGGAAGGAAAAAAAAAATCACAATGAAGTGCTTACCGATAGTTTTAGCAGCGGGGACAATTTCTTTTCCTTATAGCCGCTCCTAATTGAAGCTACTAATCCCCTGGACGGAAAATAGGCGTTGAAAAGCGCCATACGGGCGGCGACAGCGGCAATGATGACGGCACAGGGATCCCTACCCGCGCCGGCCGCAGCAGCGCCAGGAATACCGACGGACGCGGCAGGGGCGACAGAGGCGCCGCCGGCCGCCAAGGTGGAAGCGCTCCCGCTCTCCCTCGCCATAGCCGCAGTGGTGCTTGTTGTGGTGCTGTTCGTTATTGCCACACTCGCATATCGTCACCCCGGCGCCTTTCGTTACACGTGGACCCAACTACTGGGTCAACCTTTGTATAGTAGCGGCGCGAACTATTACCGAACAGAGATTGTACCGAATGTGACTACATCGGTGGCAATCCCGAGTAGCCCCCCCCTGTTGAACCCGGCGCGGCTCGCCGCGACATTCCCCATCAGAACGTATCGGCATCCTCCCAGTGACCGCCTTTGCCCTTCCGCAGGAGATTCCCTTCACTTGAGCGACGATACGGTGAGGGATACTAGGAGAGTAGTTACTAGTATGCCCTCAGATGCTGTACTAGCTGCGGGACGTCCCGTGACCGACGCCGCCGGACGCTCCGTGATTGGCGCCGCCGGCGATTTGGAAGCACAAAGCACTACCGACTTGAAACATGGAGGGGTTGCAGCGAACAGAGAGTGCACAGTGTGTCTGTGTGACTTTAACGAGGGTGAGCTGCTTCGCTATCTGCTGCCCTGCGAGCATCGGTTCCACGTCAGCTGCATTGACCACTGGCTCGCCGACAGGACCACCTGCCCCGTGTGCCGAATAGACCTCAATGCGGCAGCATCGGATGTGACTAAAGAGAGCGGAAAATTTAACGAGGTGGATGGAAGCAGAGCAGTCTGATCGGATAGGGTTTCGGCAGCGAGAGCCGCGAAGCTGAAGGGGGGGGGTCTCAATTCGTTTTTTGTCAGATTCGCAACCCGCGAGTTTGGACCACCTGCCCCGTGTGCCGAGTAGACCTCAAAGCGGCAGCATCAAATGTGACTATAGAAAGCGGAACAGTCTAATCGGCTAGGGTTTCGGCAGCAGCAGCAGTTTGCTGCAAAGCCAAGGAGGTTTCGCTTCGTTTTTGTCAGACGCAATGCAATCTGCGAGCTTGACGTTGATGATTCGCCTGACTGAGCTGAATGCGCGAGATCTGACGGCTCAATCTCATCGCAACTATTGAGAGTCCCAGAGAAAAGCAGGGGGAGCTGGTCGTATGCTTGCGCGAGTATCGATTGTGCCACTAACGAAGCGGTCGTTAGATGTGCTCCCGTGGAGTCCTGAATCTGCGTAGGGACTTGGAGCACTATGGTGGGTGGAAACGCCAGAGACGCCGCAATTCCCGCATTTCGCTGAGATGTCAGAGAATGAATGCTGTTGGGGAAATGCTGTTGCTCGAGAAGCCATGGGATGGGAACCAGGGTTTGCTGAGCTACTTCCATTTGGAGCTACAGTGTTTTTGTTAGATAGTTGTAAGACTCTAGTGTATCAAAATACCACTTTACAACATTCAGTCTAAGTGGAGTTTTGAACAGGCCTTGACATCACAATATGCCATTCATATGGGCATATGGAAGTTCGTGCCAATACGTGCAATTTCCATTTTTCAGTTCCCAATGACGTTCTCAGAAGGACATGTACATAATCAGCATCCATTCGTAGTACAATTGCAACTGTGAATTTACAGTCATGACTGGTGTGCCATCTCCTTCTTTTGCTGATGCGATGCCCCTCTAACGCCCCACCGTGAAAAGAACCCAGTGCTAGACCCATATTGGAATGGCCCTCCTGAGCCTCCTCCCTCCTCCCGCTCCTCTCGTCTCCCTGCTCCTCCCTCTTCCACAGTTCCCAACAAAGCAAATGCTTTCATAGGACTGGCGGTGTTACTGGTTACTGCAAGGCCCCCTCGAGGGCTCAGACCCGCCACCTGAGCCACTCTCCGAACCTGCCCTGTTCCAGGCTTGGGAGACCGCTGCGTTACTGAAGCTGTCGGAGACAAGCTTCGGGCAGGTGGGGACATCAAGCCTGCGCTTGCCGAGCCTGATGCAACCATGGAGCCAGATCCCGGACCTGCTCCAGCCAAGCCACCTCCCGAACCTGCTCCCGGGCCTCCTCGATTCTCCACACTGCCCCTTTCATAAAAGAAATCCTCAGATAAGCCCCAGTCGTTTGCACTCCCAGAACCCGAACTACCCCCAGAATCCGACGCCCTAACGATATTTCTACCCCCTGAATCAGCAGCTTTAACCGGGTTTCTAGGTCTGAGGGAGTCGTGGGCTGCTGTCGCCGTGCCGTAATGCTGCACAGGATAATGGTGGGGGTGAGCTGGGGGGAGGTGGTGATGGTGAGAGGGGAGGCCTTGGGGGTTGTGCGAGGGGTGGTGGTGGTGGTGCTGCAGGTTGGCCCCTGAATGAGGATCGGAATCAACTGCTAGAAGCACCTGCGATTCCCCAGCAGCGGCAGCGGCAGCGGCAGCGGCAGCGGCAGCAGCAGCAGCAGCAGAGCGAGGGGAGAGCACTCCAGCAACCCCGTTCAGCAAACCCCCGAACGCACCACCAACCACACCACCAGCCACACCACCACCCCCACCTCCTCCCCCCCCACCACTCCCACCCCCACTCACACTCACAGGCAGCCCCGACCCTCCACCTCCGCCCATCCCGCCCCCACCCGCACCGCCTTTCCCTCCGCCTCCCCCTCCCCCCGCCCCTCCAGGCGACACCATACTCTTGTTCTTCAGCAACAGCCGAGCGCGGTCCTGGTGGGCGCCAATGGCAGCGAGGCGCGGCACGAGCTTGAAGGCGAAGGGTGTGAGGACGAGGGAGAGCGCGGTGGTGCCCATGAGCAGCAGGTACAGCTTGTGCCCCACCAGCTTCAGGGTTTGCGCTCGCGACAGCAGCACGAACGAGAACTCGCCGATTTGGGCCAAAGCTATGCCCACCGCTGCTGCCGTGCCTGTGCTGTAGCCAAAGCCACGGACCTAGAGAATGGGGGGGAAGGGGGAGAGAAGGGGGAGAGAAGGGGGAGAGAAGGGGGAAAGGGGGGGGGGGTGGTGGGGGGAAAGAAAAAGGACTCTTTGATGTGCGCGAGTGGTATCCCCCCCGCTGCTGCCGTGAACACGCTGTACCCAAAGCCGTGGAGTGGACCTGTTGAATGGGGGAGGGAGGGGGGACGAGGGAGGGGTGGGACGAGGGAGGGGTGGGAAGAAAAAAGGACTCCTTGATGTAAGGTCGCAACATTAAAGGGAGCTCTTACCAGCCAGCTTCTAACAAATCCGAAAGAATTTGAATTTGCCTCTTCGTGAGTCACTTCTGAGAATTCTCAAAAGTGACTCACATACAGTAGGGAGGGCGAGAGGCAGCCGGGACGGTGAGGGGCAGAGGGGAGAGAGAGGGGCAGAGGGGAGAGAGAGGGGCAGCGGGGAGAGAGAGGGGCAGCGGGGAGAGAGAGGGGCAGCGGGGAGAGAGAGGGGCAGCGGGGAGAGAGAGGGGCAGCGGGGGAGAGAGAGGGGCAGAGGGGAGAGAGAGGGGCAGCGGGGAGAGCGAGGGGCAGCGGGGAGAGCGAGGGGCAGCGGGGAGAGAGAGGGGCAGCGGGGAGAGAGAGGGGCAGCGGGGAGAGAGAGGGGCAGCGGGGAGAGAGAGGGGCAGAGGGGAGAGAGAGGGGCAGCGGGGAGAGCGAGGGGCAGCGGGGAGAGCGAGGGGCAGCGGGGAGAGCGAGGGGCAGCGGGGAGAGCGAGGGGCATTGTGGGACCTTGCAGGGGTGTGGGGGGATGACAGAGGGTGGATCATTAGAGGGTCGCCCTTGCCACACACTGCAAGCATCCCCACCATCTCCCTCACCACACACTGCAAGCATCCCCACCATCTCCCTCACCACACACTGCAAGCATCCCCACCATCTCCCTTACCACACACTGCAAGCATTCCCACCATCTCCCTCACCACACACTGCAAGCATCCCCACCATCTCCCTTACCACACACTGCAAGCATCCCCACCATCTCCCTTGCCACACACTGCAAGCATCCCCACCATCTCCCTTGCCACACACTGCAAGCATCCCCACCATCTCCCTTGCCACACACTGCAAGCATCCCCACCATCTCCCTTGCCACACACTGCAAGCATCCCCACCATCGCCCTTGCCACACACTGCAAGCATCCCCACCATCTCCCTTGCCACACACTGCAAGCATCCCCACCATCTCCCTTGTGGCAAGGATATGGTGGTGGTGGCAGGATGTGGTGGTGGTGGCAGGATGTGGTGGTGGTGGTAGGATGTGGTGGTGGTGGCAGGATGTGGTGGTGGTGGCAGGATGTGGTGGTGGTGGCAGGATGTGTTGGTGGTGGCCGAGAAACATGGGGTGCATCACCACCATGCCTACGCTACGCCCATCCTGTGCTGTGTTCCATCCTCCCTCCCTCTTTCTCACCACACACTGCAAGCATCCCCGCCGTCTCCCTTACCACACGCACGATGCAAGCATCTCCCTACCCCCTCTCTTACCACGAGGGCAACAAGGAGCGTTTTCCCCAGGAAGACGACGGCGAGGGCGAGCAGGAGAATGTCCTTGTGTTGCCAGAGGAACATGGGGTGCATCACCATGCCTATGGACGCGAGGAAGAGCGCTGCAAACATGTTGCGCACCGGCTCCACCTGATGTAGGGTGCGCTCGCTGTAGGTGCCACCTGCAAGGGGGGGGGGGATGGGAGGGACGGCAGGGGGGAAGGTTGAGTTGCGCCAAGAAGAGCACGGCTAAGCTATTGGGAATGGGGTCTGTTTCCTGCACCGTGCGCCTGCTGTAGGCCCCACGAGCACGGTGCGCCTGCTGTAGGCACCACGAGCACGGTGCGCCTGCTGTAGGCCCCACGAGCACGGTGCGCCTGCTGTAGGCCCCACGAGCACGGTGCGCCTGCTGTAGGTGCCGGCTGCAAGAGGGGAAGGAGGCGGCAAAGGTGCAAGGAGCAATGCTGGGCACATGCAATGCAACACAGAGGCAGTTCCCCATAATCCCCAGCTGGTCCACCTCGTTGTTGCCCTGCCCGTCCCCCACGAGAAGGCACATACGCATACACATGCACATGCACAAACACGTACACATGCACATGCACAAACACGTACACATGCACATGCACATGCACATGCACATGCACAAACACGTACACATGCACGTAGCCACACCAAGCACGCACCTGAGAGCATGAGGCCAGCAACAAAAGCCCCGACTTCAAGCGACAGCCCGAGATACTCCGACAAGAGCGCGACACAGAGGCAGTTGCCCATGATGCCCAGCTGGTACAGCTCGTTGTTGCCTCGGGACACGCGCACGAGCAGGCGCAGGAAGCGCGGCACGAGCAGGCGCGAGAGCGCCCAGGCAACGAGGCAGAAGGCGAGCAGGATGAGCAGCTCGCGCACCAGGGCGAGGAGAATGGCCGAGGCCGACGCGGGGCGGGCGGCGAGTGCCGGCATTATTGCGAGGAGGAGACCGAGGGCGCAGTCCTGTGCTATGAGCGTCCCGAGCATGATCTGGGGGGAAGGTAAAAAGGGAGGGGGGTTGGAGGAGGTGGTGAGCGGTACGAACGGGTGGGTGAGCCCTTGCCACATGTATGAGGAGGTCGGAGAGCGCCCAGGCGACGAGGCAGAAGGCGAGCAGGATGAGCAGCTCGCGCACCAGCGCGAGTAGGATGGCCGAGGCCGACGCGGGACGGGCGGCGAGCGCCGGCATTATTGCGAGGAGGAGCCCGAGGGCGCAGTCCTGTGCGATGAGCGTACCGAGCATGATCTGAGGGGGGGAGTGGGGAAGGGAGGGGAGCGAGTGGGGGAGGGGGAGAGGGGTTAAAAAAGAGTGGGCCCTTGTCACATGCACGAGGAGCAGGCGGAGGGCGCAGTCCTGTGCTTTCAGCGTGCCCAGCATGATCTGAGGGAAGGGTGAGGATGGTTGGGGTGGGGGAAGGAAAAGAAAAGTAAGAGGGAGAAGTGCTGAGATAAAAATAGGAGCAGCACCTGTGCCCAGGGTGCAGTTTTGTGTGACGAGCGTGCCGAGCATGTTAATGGGGCGCGCAGGAAGGGGCGAGAAAAGAGGCGGTTCAAAGGGGTGGAAGGATGTGCCGTGAGAGGGCAAGGTAAGCAGTGCCGGCGTGGGGGGAGGGATGGAGCGAGGGGGAACGGCGCAAACCCCACACACATGTTCAGAGCTCAACTTCCCAAGCCTCAACACTTAAAGCTTGCCAGCCGATGCCTGCTTGGATGGCGTCCCCTGCCCGACGCCAACCTTGCCATCACTCCCCTGCCCGACGCCAACCTTGACATCACTCCCCTGCCCGACGCCAACCTTGACATCACTCCCCTGCCCGACGCCAACCTTGACATCACTCACCTGCCCGACGCCAACCTTGACATCACTCCCCTGCCCGACGCCAACGTTGACATCACTCACCTGCCCGACGCCAACCTTGACATCACTCCCCTGCCCGACGCCAACCTTGACATCACTCCCCTGCCCGACGCCAACCTTGACATCACTCACCTGCCCGACGCCAACGTTGACATCACTCACCTGCCCGACGCCAACCTTGACATCACTCCCCTGCCCGACGCCAACCTTGACATCACTCACCTGCCCGACGCCAACCTTGACATCACTCCCCTGCCCGACGCCAACCTTGACATCACTCACCTGCCCGACGCCAACCTTGACATCACTCACCTGCCCGACGCCAACCTTGACATCACTCCCCTGCCCGACGCCAACGTTGACATCACTCACCTGCCCGACGCCAACCTTGACATCACTACCCTGCCCGACGCCAACCTTGACATCACTCCCCTGCCCGACGCCAACCTTGACATCACTCCCCTGCCCGACGCCAACCTTGACATCACTCCCCTGCCCGACGCCAACCTTGACATCACTCACCTGCCCGACGCCAACCTTGACATCACTCACCTGCCCGACGCCAACCTTGACATCACTCACCTGCCCGACGCCAACCTTGACATCACTCACCTGCCCGACGCCAACCTTGACATCACTCCCCTGCCCGACGCCAACGTTGACATCACTCACCTGCCCGACGCCAACCCTGACATCACTCCCCTGCCCGACGCCAACGTTGACATCACTCACCTGCCCGACGCCAACCTTGACATCACTCCCCTGCCCGACGCCAACCTTGACATCACTCCCCTGCCCGACGCCAACCTTGACATCACTCACCTGCCCGACGCCAACCTTGACATCACTCCCCTGCCCGACGCCAACCTTGACATCACTCACCTGCCCGATGCCAACCTTGACATCACTCACCTGCCCGACGCCAACCTTGACATCACTCACCTGCCCGTGCCGATCCCATGCAAGGCCCACTCCTGCCCACGCACCTGCTCATGCTTCCTCCAATCCTCAACCACACCCACCCTACCACACCACATGTCTGATTGTACGTGGCTCACCGCACTGCACCTTACTGTGTTTCCTTCCAACCACTGCACAACACTGGCTGTGCCTGCTTCAATAACCCACCACACCTGCGCGTGGCACTTCCAACCTCGCCCCACCGCACTGCACCTGGCCGTGCTCGGAGTTGAAGCCGTTGATGTCCACCAGGCACTTGAGCACCACCGCTGTGGATGACATTGAGAGGAAGCCGCCTGGTTGGTGGGGGAGGGGGTGGGGGGAGGGGGAGCAGGGTTGGGAAGAGAGGTGAGGGGAGAAACCACTTTGAGCATCACCGCTGTAGAAGGAATGGACTGGAAGCCGCCTGACGATGGGGGTTAAGAGGAGTAGGAGAAGGAAAGCAGCAGACATGGAGGGAGCAGGGGCAGGGGTGGGGTGGAGATGGGGGAATGAGTCACTTGGGGATCACTGCTGTGGTCGACATTGACAGGATGGCACCTGGTGGGGGCTGGGTGGGAGGAGGGACGGGACAAAGGGAGCGGGGGGGAGAGCAAGGAAGAAATGCACAGCCTGGGAGCACAGGGGGCAAGGAAGGAAGCTGGATGGTGCATAGAGAGTGGACACGGGGGAGGGGGGGAGTGAGGGAGACTGAGGCACAGGCGAAACGAAGACCCCTCCATGCACTCCATGTACCCACTGATCACCTACAAGCCCCGCCCATGACTCAGACACACACCCATGAAGAGGCCCTTGGGAGGGTTGCAGGTGCAGCTGCGGCTTAGGACCAGGGCGGTTATGCGACTATGCGGAACTACTCCTTGTTGCAGCCCTCCCTACTAATGCAGTAGGTTAGGGGCATCACGTCACACGGTGACCCACCGGCGCACCTATGAAGAGCCCCTGGGGCGTGTTGGAGGTGAAGATGCTGCCCAGAATCATGAGTCATGGCGATGAGAATCTGCAGCGTTCCTTGCTGCTACAGTCACCACTAGCTAAGCCCTTGAATCACACACCCACCTGCGGATAGCGAGCCTGGTCCTACGACTTGGCCGCGCACCTATGAAGTCAGTCAAAGTCACGGGAACCAATCAGTGTCCTAGTAGCCTCGCGCTGTTGCGCGATGGGTACGACTAGCATGATAAGAACCCTGGGGCGTGTTGGAGGAGAAGATGCCACCTGGAATCATGGCCACGAGGATCTGCGACGACTTTGGTAGTGGTGCCTGTGCACTCCTTGTTGGCACAGGCACCGCTACCAAACTCCTTGCCTTGACCAACTTCAAGGTAGCCCTGGCCCTGTGACCCCCCCTACAGACTCGCACCTATGAAGAGCCCCTGGGGGGTATTGGAGCTGAAGATGCCGCCCAGAATCATGGTGATGAGGACCTGCGGCACTCCTTGCTGCTACAGGTCCACTAGCTAAGCCCTGGAATCATACAACACAACCACTTACACACAGCTTGTCCTGCCCGCTTGATCCCAAAAGACACGCACCAATGAAGAGCCCCTGCGGCGTGTTGGAGCTGAAGATGCCGCCCAGAATCATGGCGATAGCGATCTGCAGCACTCCGCCGCCCAGCGCCACGTTGTGCACCCCCTGCATCTTGGCCAGGCTGAACTCCACTCCCAGGGCGAACAGGAGAAAGACCACTCCAAACTGCGCTAGGGTTTCCACCTGCAGGGGACGGATAGAGGAGGGAGAGGAGGGAGATGGGGGAGAGGAGGACGAGGAGGGGGTGTACGTGTGCTTTGATGCCATGTTGTGCACCCTCTGCATCTTGGCCAGGCTGAACTCGACTCCCAGGGCGAACAGCAGGAACACCACCCCGAATTGGGTTAGGGTTTCCATCTGCACGGGGTGAGTGAGTGGCAGTGTGTGAGAAGAGAGGGAGCTGCACGTTGCCTGTGCATCTCAGTGTGCCCTAGAGGCATGTTGTGCAACCCCTGCATCTTGGAGGGGCTGAACTCGACTCCCAGGGCTGAAAAGCAGGAAAACCACCCCGAAATGCACTAGGGTTTCCACCTGCAGGGGACGGAAAGGAGGGAAATGAGGGAGATGAGAAAGCGGAGGGAGAACGGGCGGCGAGGGAGAGGTAGGAGAGGAAAGAGAGGAGGTAGGGGAGAGAGAGAATGGAGAGGAGGGAGAGGAGGGCAAGTAGTGGGTGTGCCTTAAAGCCACGTTCTGCAACTTCATGATCTCCACAGATATCAAGTGCCACCCATTACCTTCATACCCATGAGCCCACATGCCAGCCCTCCCAGCACTCACCGCCCTCTAGCAGCCCATGTGGTAACCCCACTAACCGCGCTATAGGATGTAACACTCACGTGGCAACTGCACTGACCTTCACACGTCTGGTAGCCCTACTGACCATTCTGTAACCCTTGTGTGGTAACCCTACTGATCATCTTCTACACAATGACAACCCTACTGTCCTGCGACGCTGCGCCCATCCTGCAACCCTACTGAGCTACACCTTATCTCGTAACATTACTGACGTGCACCATGTCGTAACCCTAATGACCTACACCAATATGGTAACCCTACTGACCAACACCATATGTGGTAACCCTACCCAGCTATTGGATGAGTCCCTGTCCTCCCAACCAGATAGCCATGCCAGCAACAATGTACCCCAAAATGATGGGCTGCCCCATCAGCCCACACGCCAGGCCGTCCAGCACCACCAATGCAGTAACCCTATTACCGTATGTATACCCTGTGGTAACCCTACTTACCTGCACAAGCTCGTGAATGAGCCCCAGCCCGCCCGGCCCAATGGCCATGCCAGCAGCGATGTATTCCAGGATGATGGGCTGCCCCATCAGCCCGCACGCCAGCCCTCCCAGTAACACCAATGCTGTAACCCTATTAAACAATCCTACGTGGTAACCCTACTGACCTGTACAAGCTCGTGAATGAGGCCGAGCTCGCCTGGCCCAATGGCCATGCCAGCAACGATGTATCCCAGGATGATGGGCTGCCCCATCAGCCCACACGCCAGGCCTCCCAGCGCTCACCACGGTGTAACACCCATGTGGTAACCCTACCCACCTGTACGAGCTCGTGGATAAGCCCCAGCCCGCCTGGGCCAATGGCCATGCCAGCAACGATGTACCCCAGGATGATGGGCTGCCCCATCAGCCCACACGCCAGGCCTCCCAGCGCTCACCACGGTGTAACACCCATGTGGTAACCCTACCCACCTGTACGAGCTCGTGGATAAGCCCCAGCCCGCCTGGGCCAATGGCCATGCCAGCAACGATGTACCCCAGGATGATGGGCTGCCCCATCAGCCCACACGCCAGGCCTCCCAGCGCTCACCACGGAGTAACACCCATGTGGTAACCCTACCCACCTGTACGAGCTCGTGGATAAGCCCCAGCCCGCCTGGGCCAATGGCCATGCCAGCAACGATGTACCCCAGGATGATGGGCTGCCCCATCAGCCCACACGCCAGCCCCCCCAGCGCCGCCGCCACTATCACCTTCACGATGTCCGAAATGAGGGTGAAATCCTCCTGTAGCTGCATCTTGGACCCCTTACCGGGGCTGCTTATAACGTATTCGTTATCCTGGGAGTCTATCAGCCTAGGAACGTCCTTCTCGTCTTCCTGCTCCGCCTCCTGCTCTTTCTTGGTCTCGTTTCTAGCCGACGCTTTAGTGACGTTCTTAGGAGTGGGGCGCGGCGGGGGAGGAGGAGGCGGTGCAGCGTCTATCCCCAGGAGAATATCGAAAAACGACCGCTCTCCACCGCTGGTCACCCCTCCGTCCCAGCTGTTCTTCACCGCAGCCGCAGCTGCTTCCGCCTCCTGCTTCGCCTTCAGCTCCGCTTCCCTCTCTGCCTCCTCCTCCTCCTGCTTCTCCCGTTCCTCGCGCTCCTTCTCCTCCTTCTCGTGCACGTGGTGCTTCCCCACCCGCGCCACCGTCTCCAAAACCGCCTCCTGCTTTTCTAGGGTTTCGTTGAACTTCCCCCCCTCGCCCTCCATATCATCCAGTCTCTCTAGAATCTTCTCCATCATCTCTCCCACGTTCTCGCCTTTGCCGCCTTTTTTCCCGCCGCCTTTCGCTTTCTTCTGCGCGCTATCGCCCTCCTCCCCTTCGTACTGATCCGGATTATCATCCGCCGCGCTCGCGCTCTCTTTCCCTGCTTTTCCGTCTCCTGTCCCTGCTCCCACGGCTCCCTCCTTTCCTCCGGATTTTCCCTTCTCCTCTCGCTTCTCCTCACCCTTATCCTTCCCCTTCTCCTTCTCCTTGTCGTCTTTCCCCCCGCCTTCCCCAGATGCCTTCTTCGATTCCTCCTCAGCTTTCTTACTCTTAGCCTCCTTCGGCTCCTTCACGCCAATCAGAATCGGAATCCCGTCCGCATCTCCGTCAGCGAGCATCTGGACCGTCTCTTTCTCCTCTACCTCCTCCTCCGCATCCTCGCCGTGCGATTTCGAATCTTCCGGCTTTCCATCCCCGCGGCTTCCCGAATTCCCTGAAGAATTAGTTTTCCCATCTGACTCAGTCAGGGTAGACGACGGCTTCTCTTTGGAATTGCTACCACCGATTCCCAGACTCTTCTCAAAATCCTCCATTTCCTGATCGATTCCTAAAGCTCCTGAAACGATTCGTTCCCATATCCCTTGTGGATGATCACCGGATTTCACCTCGTCAACTTTCGACTTCTCCTCGCTACTGTTGGTATCGCTGGATACTACAGAGAAGGAACCTAGGATCAGAAGAGTTGCCAGAAGAATCGGGTATAGCGAGATTCGACGAGATTTGGTGGTAACATTGTAACATCGTACGAGATTGATGGGGTCTAATGTCCACACTTCTCTTAGTCCTGACATCGCTGCTTCAGCCACGAGCGACTTGCTTGAAGGAACGTCACTGCTTCGAAAACGACGGCCCTACATGGCCGTGTCACGCGCGAAGATACAGCGTCGCCTTTCAAGCGAATGTGCCTATTCGGATGGAAGGTTGCTCGGTCGAGCCTCGGATTACGGCAGCGAGTGTAGATCCTCTATAGCTTACGGGTTCGACGTAAGTTAACTAACGGATAGTTAAAAACTTCCCCTCAATGGGTAAACGCAGTCTAAGCTCGTGGTGGCTGCAATTGATATTTCGGACAAAAACAATATGTTCGTGCTTGGTCTAACGAAGCCAGGTGATGAATGCCAATAAGACAGTTCTGAGTGACACACCACAATCAAGAGTTCCGTAATTGGATATTCCTGCTTTTTACACCTAGAGAGTACATGCGTCTTTCTCCTGAACGAACGCTTTGGTATCCATTGATCTTAGCAAAGCTGCAAGGTAAATTTAGCAGACGCAGCTATTGAGACCATCCCATAAAAATGCTCCGGTTGCAGTAAGATTTAGTTCGTCCGGTTACGGTACTAGGGGGTAAGGTCCCGCTACCTGCTCCTCCATTCCCAGAGTTCGGTGTTCTCGTGGTCTCCTTCCAGTTTCCAGGCCTGGGGAGCTCCGTCACCAGCCGATGCCACGTAAGCAAGCGGTGGAAGGTTGGGCGGCTAGTGTGCTGGTTGGTGGAGCCCACTCCATCACCTGCCACAGAGCCCAACCATGTTCCCGAACGTCCTACATCTGCGGCTCGGCGACCCCGTGTTCTCGCTAAAACTCACATCGAAGATCAGCAAGTAACACATTTCACTAAAATTGAGAAGTTCCTTTCCGTACTTGATTTACACTTGCTGGTTGTTATGAGTTGTACGAAAGAAGAGTGCGCAGAATGCAATATCGCGGAAGTGATTACAACGACTGAGCAAACAACGAGGCCTAGAACTAATATAGCAATGCTAGCTAGGCCGAGGTCGCGGAGTCGTGAGATGGTTGGGTGCAGGTTTGGGGTTGGGAAACCCGAAGGCGACGCGAGGGACGTTCGGAAGGCGAGGTCGTCGGACCGAGCCTGAACTCCGAAAGTTGGAATTGTACGCGCACAGAGTGCCTCAGTAAGGAATTAGGAAAATTCCTTACACTACCCCTTCCTTTAAGAAAGGTGGTCAACATCAGGCACGCATCGGCGGGAAAGATAATCTCGTAGTTTCGGGTGGCCTTGCAGTGAGTCAGCGGGGACCCACGTGTCATCTTCACTTGTGCGATCCACCCAGCGTAGGAGGAAATCGACGTGGCGTCCGGCTGGCGTCGCACGTATGCGATGATTTAAAATCTTCCAGGGCTGTAGTGTCAGGTCTGCCACAGGCCGAACACTTGGCGCGATGTTGGGCGGGCGATGTCGGACGACTGCGGAGCCACGTAATGGCGGAGCAGACTGACGTGGAAAGCGTCGTGGATTTTCCAGTCATCCGGTAGCAATAATTTCGCCGTGACCGGGGTCAACATCCGAATGACGCGGAAGGGTCCCACGTAGCGGGGACGTAGTTTCGCAGGTTGGGGCAGGCGAAGATTCTTCGTGTACAGGAGGACCATCTGCCCGTCACGGAAAGGTAAGTTCCGTCGATGCCTGTCAGCATAGCGGCTGGCAATAGTATTAGCCTTCCGGATAAACTCTGCTGCTTTGTCGCGAGCTGTTTGAAGTTCCGAGACGAACTGCTGTGACCGTGGTACTGGATTGTCGGGAGTCGTTGAAGAGGGTACCAGGGGGTCTATCCCGTAATTGAGGTAGAACGTCGACTGATTGGTTGTCGCAGACGGTGCGTTGTTGTACGCAAATTCCAGCATGGGGAGTAAATCTTCCCACTTGGTGAGGTCGGGGCAGTTCGTGCGAATCAACTGCTCCATAGTCTGATTTGTCCGCTCTGTCTGACCGTCAGTTTGCGGGTGGTAAGACGACGAAAACTGCAGGCGGGTGCCGTACTGTGTCCACGTCTCTTGCCAGAACTTCGACGTAAATTTTGGGTCGCGGTCGCTGATGATCGCCGTAGGTAAACCGCGTAGTATGACGACGGTCGAGATGAACAGCTTCGCAGTTTCTTCGGCGGTAATCGTCGTACGGCATGGTGCGAAATGCGCCATTTTCGTTAAGCGATCGACAATAACCAGCACGGAGTCGTTTCCACTTGCGCCAGCTGGTAGCCCTGTGACGAAATCCATCGTCACCTGTTGCCATGGTCGTTCGGGTGGCTCGAGGGGTTGCAGCAACCCAGCTGGGCGTTGTCGTGATGACTTCATTGCTTGGCAGGTCAGGCATGCTGACACATAGCGCTGCACGTCCGACGCCATGTCGGGCCAGTAATAATTCCGCTGCAGCAGCTTCAATGTTTTGTCAACGTCGAAATGCCCGGAGAGGTTAGAGTCATGAACCTCTTGCGTCAGCAACTCTCGAAAGGGTCGGTAGGAGGGTACCCAAACTCGGTTGGTACCGAATTTTAGGTGATAGCTCCCGTGTGGCGTGGTGACCCATTGGTGTTGATTCGTCCTAGAAAACCGGTCGGTCCTGTATCCGTGCTTGAAGATTCATGCCAATAATGGGTTAGAATGGGCGATTAGTACTTCTACGGTCTGCATTGATGGGCGGGTCAGGGCGTCGGCGATGTTGTTGGCGCCCTTTTTGTACGTGATGGTATAGCAGAAGTTTGACTTGAGGTAATCGAGCCACCTGATTTGTCGCGGGTTGAGCTGTGGTTGGTTGCGCATGTACTATAATGACTTGTGGTCTGTCCTGATCGTGACGTTGGCTCCCGTGAGATAACATCGCCAGGTACGAAATCCATGCACGATGGCGTGTCAAGATTAAGCAGTAGAAACGAGAAATGAAGAAAGGAGGGGTTTCACTAGCAAGCAGGTGGATACATATAGGAAACCCTAAGGGGTCATACTCACTACAGAGTACCCCACTGCAGGCTAGACAATAATAACATTCTGACACACCCCCATAGCCAAAGTGGGGTGTAATCAGCACAATGAGCAAGCATAGCAGTAGTTCACAATTATAAGCAAAGCTAGTGGTAGTCACAGCGGGCAAGTGAGGAGGAGGAGGGACTGTGAGAGGAGAGAAGATGGGAGACGACGGCTGAAGCTGCAGACACACGGGCAACAGGAGCTGCTGGCACAGTGGCTACCGGGACAGCGCCCCGGACTACTGGAGTAACTGGCTCACGGGCTACGAGGAGCTACAGGAGCAACGGACCCACGGGCGACAGGCGCAGCAGGCTCTCTGGGCTATTAGGACAGTGCGCCCCGGACTACAGGTGCTGCGGACGACAAGACGGCTACCTCCACACAACCTCCTCCAACTGACCCACACCCTTGACACACACCCCCTGCTGAACCCTAGCTCCACTCCCACGGCACCCCCCTTAAACCCTAAACCCTCGGCTCCCACACACCCACCCCCCTCAGCGGCAGCTGCAGCAGTGGGAGACGGAGGAGGAGGAGGAGTAGGGGACGGATCACACACCCGCCACCCCCATACTTGCCACCCCCATACCCCCAAGCGTAGGGCAAAAACGGGGGCAGCAGCTGGGGCGGTGTGTGAGCGGAAGCGGGGCGGCGCGCGGGCCCCCAGGGCGCCTCGACGAGTGACGGGAGGGGGGGACGCGCGCCCCCCCAGGGCGCCGCGACGGGTGACGGGAGGGGCGACGCGCGGCCCCCCAGGGCGCCTCGACGAGTGACGGGAGGGGGAACGCGCGGCCCCCCAGGGTGCCGCGACGGGCGACGGGAGGGGCGACGCGCGGCCCCCCAGGGCGCCGCGACGGGCGACGGGAGGGGGGGGGGTTGACGCGCTAAAGCCCAGGGCGCCGCGACGGGCAACGGGCAGGGCGACGCGCGGCCCCCTTGAGCGTCGCGACGGGCGACGGGATGGCGGGGGGGGGGGGGCGCGCGCGGATCCCCCACGGCAGAAAACCGCCGCGCGCCTCGGGGCGCACGGCGGGCAGAAACTCGGCGCGCGCCCCGAGCGCACGGCGGGATGAAAACCCTAAAAATTTTCACCGCGCGGTCCGCGCGCGGCAGGAAGAAGACGGCGCGCGCCCGAGGCGCGCGAGAAGCAGAACAGCAGCGGAAGCAGTTAGGTGGTGGGCCCACCCACAGGATCGACCCAAGGGGGTCGACCTGCTCTGAAACCATGTCAAGATTAAGCAGTAGAAACGAGAAATGAAGAAAGGAGGGGTTTCACTAGCAAGCAGGTGGATACATATAGGAAACCCTAAGGGGTCATACTCACTACAGAGTACCCCACTGCAGGCTAGACAATAATAACATTCTGACATGGCGAGCATTTCTTTGTCGTGTACAGGGTAGTTGCGCTCGGGCGGCTGCATTTTCCGTGACTCGTACGCGATTGGTTGCAGCCCGTTGCCGAAATCCTGTAGAAGGACGGCGCCGACGGCGAAATCGTTGGCGTCCGTCACGACTTCGAACGGCCGAGATGGGTCTGCCAGCCGAAGCACCGGGGGTGAACTAAAAAAATTATTGAGCTCGTCAGAGCCAACTGTTCTCTCCCCCCCCAAAGAAATAGCACGCCTTTGTGCAGTAGATCGGTTAACGGCCTGGTTAACCCCGCCATATTCGGTACAAAACGGCGGACATAGTTAACAAAGCCGAGGAACCTCTGCAACTCCGTGATGTTCGTAGGCGGCTTCCATTCCCAAATCGCTGTCACTTTGCGAGG